ATTTGTATGAAAAATAAAATAATTAAAATGAAGATATCAATTTTCTGACTTCACCATACCATTTATATGACCATGTTAACATGGGCTAGTGTCAGTTCATATACCCATTTACCTAAAACCCTGTAGATTTCGATGCGATAATATGTGTTGTGTTGTGATGATTCACTTTTTTTATTAGTAGCTTGTGGACGATGTAGTGGCGCGACCACAATCTCAAATCTTCTAAACTTTTAGCTCCTAGTTAAAAAAATAACCTACATACTTATATCGTGATAAAAAACCAGTAAGACGTAAGTAGGTATAGCGATCGTATGTAGCAGCGTAAGTATGTATACCTACTAATAACTAATATCTATAAAATCAGTAAAAATGTTGTCAAATTTAGTACGTACGAGTACTTACGCTCAATAAATAAATAAATAAAAACCTATTGACCTGATTTTATTGAAAATATACAATAGGTTAGTACCTACTTAAATTATAGAAACTACCGGTATATTAAATTTAAGATCAATAAGTGGAAACAAGTAATTAATATTTCATTTTATTTATTGTTCCTTGTTTCCTTTATCCATTAGTACCTAATTCATTACTATGTTTTTCTAAATTAACTGCGTAGCGAATCTTAAATTATTGCCTGTAACTTTTTATCTCTAAACATGCGTTATTTTACGTAGTAAGTGGTACCGACAACAGCACATCCAGTCTCTTATTTATTTTTATTGGCTATTTTGCAACAAAATGTATAAGTAGACTAATATAATACGTACGATTGTATGTTGATGCACGCATGACCCGATTTCGTCGTTCGGTCATATCACGCAGTAACACGCCCATAATACATGACCGCTCCACGTGAAATCATTCATTGAGGACAACCAACTCCGAAACTGTGTCCGAAATAGATTGTGGCGTGATCTTCTCTACGTCATAGCTCGGAGAACCGGTTAGCTAATTTCGTCGAGTCAGGTATCGGGGGTGTAACTCAGTGGTAGAGTGTCTGCTTCGCATGCTGAAAGTCCTGGGTTCAAATCCCAGCTCCTCCACTATTCACTTTTGTTTTTTTTTACATTTAAAAATAATTGAATAACGCTGCGTCTACAAAATACTAACCAGTTACATATTAATTATTCTTTATTCTCTTCTAAAAATTACGTTAGTTAATCCTTTTAACTTTAATAAAACCTTTTTAATGACTAAAGTTCGATTAATATAAAATTTCATTCTGCCTAACTGAAAAAGAATCATTTTTCTGTACGACAAAAAGCATAAATAAAATGTAGAGCTAGGATATTGGAACTTAGAAAGTTATCGTCCACGTATTGTAGAGCGTGGGTGCATTTTGTTGTACATTATGCGATCAATACTCTCTGAGCACGAGTAGCGCCATCTATTGGTTGTGCTCAGTAATACATACCATCACAAACATTTGCTAAATGTAGAGCGGACATGATGATTAAACCAATGAAAGTTACCAGGCAAAAGTTTACCGTGTAATGTAGCAGAAATAAAATTATGAAGCTTTAAATATTTTTATTTATCAAAGACTGATGGATATGACTTAGATTTTAATACTTATTTATGCCCCAGGGAGCGAATGTGGATGCGGTAGGGCATTCCGTCCTTAAACAAGGTTTTAACTCTAAAATGTATCAAGGTTGAATAAAGTATTCTGAAATCTTAGTCTCATTGCAACATTATTCAACTAAATAAATATACCAATAAATATTAGAATCACCCTAGGTAGCACTGTATGATTTCAAAAACAATGTAGAGACGACTCAAATCAATAAAATAAAACTCAATTTCCGTATAATATTTTAATGAAAATTCAACTAAACGTATAAATCTTATTTATACTTACAGTAAACAGTTAATTGGATAAATATTTACATTATTCAGCTGGGGGCGTGTGGTACACTCCGGCCCCCAAAATTGCACTAACAAAAATATTGGACCCACGGGGTCCGGGCGACCCACCGGCATTTGGAACGGTTATTAAATTCTTCACAAAACCCTTCTTTCATTTTAGAAAATATAAACATTATCAACATTATTTAAGTTAAAAAATGCGAAAACAGTAAAATGTATGTAGTTTACCCACTTGGAAAACGCGTAAAATACTCAAATATTGTAACGATAATTCTTAATACGAATTTAACATTAAAACCTGAAGTAGCGCGCGTGAGTATTTATTTAGTTTTAATTTTCAAAATGGGTAAAGTTATACATTGATTTTCCTTAAATACTTAATAAATATCAAATGGTGACACGTTGACTTAGCTTACAATAAGTGATAAGTCAAGCATTAAAATAGCTTTGGTCTTTCTCTACCATAGAGTTGGAGAACTCCACAGTATACACACATCTATAGTACGCGACAAAGCAGTAATGCGGTTGGAACCGTACATTTCGACCGCACTTATACTTTGTCACGTACTGTATTTTAGCGACTTTTCCCAACTATAGTCCCAAACACCGGTAGATCGCACAATTATAATAACGAGTATTACAGTGTATACGCAGTCTTTACTAGCGCCTCACCTCTAGCTAGAGACCGCTCTACTACTACGGTATCTATGTATAAATCCGCCACACTACATTTGACCTTTTTATTGCACATGGAAATTGATGGAATATGTAAAAGCAACTAGAGCGAATGAACAAGAAAATAGTATTTATTGTCTATCAGAACCACTAGGTTCCTGTAAAGATGAAAATTAGCACAATGCAAGGGAATATCAAGTATTAATTTGTTTGAAATTCAAACCTCATAAATCACCTACCTAATCCCACAGTCATAGGCGAATGTATGAACTTATAATAGAGACGCATAACAATCATAACATAGGTAGATTTATTTCTTAGGAAATAAGAGCGGCTTTTACAGGACAAATGCCCCACTGTATGTACTCTAGAAAGTACAATGAATATACGGAAAAACAAATTGAAATTTTACACAATTTGCGTGTAAATCCTATCATACTCCATCAATTTTGAGTTTCGGTCAAATGTTACATTCGGCGCTAGGTACGCTACATGATACACGCTACCAACCTCTAACCTGTATGCGTGGGCTGCTTGTCTGTCTGGGTATTCGGAAAATTGGAAACTGTCTTTACATCCGTTTCATTACTACAATCGAAAGCTTGCCAATCTTCCACAATTTTTATTAATAGATATTTTGATTAATATGAAACATAATCAAATGTTGAAAATCCATCGGAGATTAATGTGTAGTGTAGGGTAGATTGACCTGCCGTTCTATGTACGAGTATAAGTTCTTTGAAGAAATCAAAGACAATGAAATTGAAAACACATAATAAATATAGCATTATTATGACCTCTTTTGCAAATGAGATAGGATTCAAAACTTTAACTAATCGAATGAAAGACCACGACATCCTGTTCCTCATTCCCGCGACAAACGCACAGCCTTACCGACTATACTAACTACGATAATAAAATGACGCTACGAATATTACTGGAAGATGTAAAGTGGCCTCGCCTATAATAAGTAATAACGGTAACAACTACAGACACATTATCCACTAGACGAGATCTGTGGAGATAAGTCACACGGAGATGATAAGAAGGAAACCGGTACATAAGAAGGTAGATAACCACAATTTTCCCATTCAAGTCAATCCATTTGGAGTCGTAGGTATTAAGATATTAATTGAAAGAAACTAAAGGTAACTTCAGTCTTCACCCAAAATCGAAGACATAAGATCCTTATCTATGTTCGATGTTTTTTTAGTTCTGATTTCAGTCAGAATTATCATTTTTTGTACCTAATCTGAACTCTAAACCCAATATTTCCCATTTTCTAAAAACATGTTGATAAAAAGTAACTAGGGGTGCCAATCTTTTATTCTTTCGATTTGAGTTAGTGTGTCATATCATGGCACGTAGCTCGTCTAGTAGTTAATTCACATTCACTACACTAAACTAACGGGATTCTAGGACAATGGAGGGACTAGACATAGTGGAAGAACTACTGGCCGTTGCACCCGCTGGGAACTCGCAAAAGAACCCCCACTTTTTATTTCAACAGCTTACCACGTTTTGTTACTCTTAATTTCCCTTTATAGAAAAGGAAAAGGGTAACTGCTGGATGATTTAATTAAATGCGACATGCTGGGTTCAAAAATACGACTAGTTGATGTGTTTAATTTTTTAGAATAAAGTCAACCAACTCTACAAAACTGATATTCAATAGTTTACGTTAAATGTTTCCAAGAACAATAAAATTCAAGTTAACTTTTAACAAGAAGGTACTTCCACATTTTCAACTTTCCTAAAAGATTACAATACTATTCAAAATATCGCAAATGTTACAGCATAGAAAGATTGTAAATATTAGAAAGTTTCTCAAAACTCATTTTGAAGAATTTGAAAGAGTAGAAAATCTAAAGTTTATAAGTGGAGTATAAAAAGTTGAGCTACAAGATCCACAAGAACATTCATCGTAGACATTTCATGATATAAATGAAGTAGATACTTTCCTCAGTACCAATATCTTTGTTAGGTAAATATTTTATCAAAAACAACTTAACTTATCAGAAAAAACTGGAATAATTGACTAACCTATTTGGCAAGTGTAACGGCCGCTACTTTGGACTAGGGTCTAGGAACAAACGAAACGGGTCTAAGCTAAGGTTTGGCAGGGACGGGAGGCGATAGTGCTGCCGACAGCCACAACTATCGATAACCCATCGACATCGATGGGGTAACATAGTTGGAAACTTTAAGAAACTTCAATATAACCAATGCTCTCAAATCATTATCGGAAGCATAGCGAAATATTGTCAGTTTTACATGGTTTAACAACGCCACCACTATCAATAATACTGAAGTTGATCCTGAAATGCAGCAGATAAACAAATATAACGTGAATGTCCGCGTTACAGAATCATCGTCAATATTATAATAAGTTCATGTTGCAACATCGACAAGTCTTTTCAAAGATGCTTTCCTTGTTGAAATATCCCCCTGCATCGAAATTCGATAGATGATGGCCAGAGGCAGCTATAGGGAGTCGAGTCGCGTGCGCTGCACAGCCAACAACGCTGACTGTTGCTGGAGACTCTTGCGCAGCCCTTCTAACGTTTGCAACACCTGGAAAAAAAAAGTTTTAGTCGCATCTCTTGAAACAGAAGAATATCGACTTACGTTAGGGAAAATCATGTACAAATTGCTACAATAAATCGTTTAGCATTATGTAAGAAATTAGAACTACCGTCATTAGTTTTCCCATTACTTCGTCAAAAAACATTAATTTCATCATGACTCTTTCTTGACCTCTATTAAATGAGATTTAACGATCTGTTGATTAACTAGGTATTATGTTGATTAAACATCCTTTGTTAATTGACTTTTAACGACATAAGCAATTTAAATTGCGTCTGATATTAGAAGAATGTGGAAATATTTGATGACGTTTGATGATTGCGTAATACAAGAGGTAAAGACTGATGTCAAGGATATTCCTCGTTCCTGTTTTTTTTTGGTCATCGTTTGTACCTACCTATGTAAGTATTTAGGTAGGTAACTTCTAATGTTATAACTAGCTGTTTACATTCATATTTGTGACATTTTCTGTCCAATAGACGTTATGGCAATGTGTCGCAAGCAGAAGGAAGTATCTTGAGACTTTTGTCCCTTAGTGAATGGATCTTTTCAGTCAAATGACGTCTACTGCTAGACAAAGGCCTCTCCCAAAGATTTCTACAACGATTTGTTCTGCGCTGCTCGCATCCAGATACTTCCTGCGGCCTTCACCAGATCTTTGGGACACCACGTCTCCCAGCCTCGTGGTCGCCCCTCGAGAACTTTTCTGCCCCAGCGGTCATCATCTCTACGAGCTACGTCCCCTAAATACGTTAGCGCTTACCTCATCTCTGGCATACGCCTTTCTTTTCGGTGGTTCCGAGTGCGGCCGATCCGTAGGCGAGGGGGGGTGCACCCGGGGGGCCACGGGCGGGGGGGCGGGCGCGGCGAGGGGGGAGCGGCGGGCGACGGGAGACATGGTCCTCCTCGGTTCGGGGGAGTTGGCCCTCATGAAGTTTGTGATATGTGTGCGCTCTGGACTCCGGCGGGGAGCTTCCACCTTGGGTAGGGAAATGGGTTATGATTAGTGCTGGGTTTCTATGTTTGGTGGAATAAAAATGAATAGGTAAGTCAAAAAAAATAAAATTATTTATCTTAAGCAGCTGCACAAGTTCAAAAATATTGTACCGTCTCTTCTCTCAGTCATCATAACTTTTTTTTTTTATTAACAACGAGGCAGCTCTTGGCCTGTATCTCACCTGATGGTAAGTGATGATCACTTAGAAGACGCAAATCGTTTTACTTTAATACTCATTGTTTATTACAAGCTTTTTATTACATTCACATGTTTCATTATACTTATCTGTTTTATTTCATTATATCTGTAGGTCTAATAATTGGGATGATTAATGTATAAAAATAAATATAAAAATGAAAACCATAACGTGGAAAACAATAACCAACGCCCAACCAATATGAACTAAATAAAAACACCAACTTCCGGAAACACTACTTCAACGGCCTCGTTAATTAACAATAGACATTGTGATGCGCGTAATTATTATGATAATGTGTGGCAGTAGACACAACAATGAAGGAACAAAAGGCTTTTCATGCAATACCAATTTCACTTATCAGTCATCCATAATAATTATGCAACGCCAGGGACTGAAACCAATTAGTGGAATTCAAGTACGTAGTTAGTTACACACACATTATCTAGTATTTAAAATTCATTTGAAGAAAAATCTTCTTTACCTAGATCAGGTAGGTACTAAAACTTTAGGTACTTTAATTCCTAAAACCCGGAGATTCTCCACTACTTAGACTTATACATCAATAGGCGCAGAATGTAGGCGGTAACGTATGCAAACTCATGCAACCTCACGGCCCAAAATTATGGTCATCATCATCATCAGATCATTTATTCTTCAACGCAGGAGGACGACCCTATTTAATTGACCACATGCAAAAGAAGGAAATGCATGGTGTATTAAATCATCATCATCATTCCCATCATTTCAGTCATAGGACGTCCACTTCTGAACATAGGCCTGCCCCAATGGTTTCCATATTAATTGGTAGCGGCCTGCATCCAGCGCCCTCCTGCTACCTTTATGAGATCGTCAGTCCACCTGATGTATATGTCACCGTAAAATTGTGAATTACGTTAGATTATAATTTGACGTAGTTAGATTACAATCTAACCTAACCTTACCCACTGTTAGTTTACAATCTCACGCGTTATATTATAAACGGAGTTCCCAATTTCACGTTGACATATTATATATTATAATACATCAGGTGGACAAACTAACCATAAAATATAGCTTACCTCAGTAGCCCTCAGCTCCCTCACCCGAGGGTTGTGAGGCGGCTCCAGCGGCGCCCTGGAGACGGTGACGAGCAGCTTCTCGGCCTCCCTGATCAGCTCCCGGTACTTCCTCTCGGCCTCCCGGTCGGCTTCTAACAGCGGGTCCCGCTCCCGCACGGGAGGGGCGGAGGGAGCGTGGTTGCGCCGGCGCACGCGAGGTGGTGTCGCCCCTGAAGTAATACGAAACAAATTATGTATTAATTTACATGCTTATCTATCTTATTTTCTTAGATATTTTGACTTTAGAATTGAGGACTATCGACACAAGTTACCTACCTAAGTTTCAAAAGCTTCATTTGTTGTAATAGCAATTGAATTAGATAAAAAAAAAATAGGACGAGCGTATAGTTTTGTTATGATGATCCTTACGTTTTGAATGTGACACATACAAGAAAAAGATCGTGGGGTCAATACAACAATATGACCCATGAACCCACCAGCTTTACGTTTCATCCAAAGCACAGAATCATTTATAACTTATGGTGGTTGTAAATTGATGCAAGACTACATTATCCTTAACAAACTGAAAGCAGGCAGAATCAGACAAAGCGTACCTAGAACTTTTAGTTCGGAATTTAACTTTGAATAATAGACCATGGAAATTTTCTCAAATAAAAAATAAGCATTATCCACCTGCTGAACGAGGCGGTCGCCTCGGCGGCGGCCTACGTCGCCTCGCCCTCCTCCTGCCAGGCGAGGCGGTCTCATCCGGCTCATCCTCATCCCCTCCATCCAATCCCGTGTCTCCGTCCGAATCTATATCAGCATCCGATAGTATCGCAGTCTCCCGGCCCCGGGGCCTCAGGCCCCTGCATTCCTCGTCGCTGGAGGCCCCGCCTCGGTAGTACGGAGACCGGTGGGGCTCCGGAGACCGGCGGGGTGAGGGACGGGGCGAGAGACGCGGCGAGAGGTGCGGAGATAGATGCGGGGACAAATGCGGGGATAGGTGTGGAGATCTGGGTGACCTTAAACCAAAAATACACAGCAATTAAAAAAAGAATAAATTATACACACAATGCACATCTTTATCATCATCAAGTCATTTATTTCAAGCCTCCCCTAAGATGATGACGGTGTCTAATTTACCAGAGACAAATGGAGTGTTTGGCCTACACTTCAAGCCAGTGAGACCAGTTGGGGGCCCTATGGTATCCGCATATTTTTCTCTCAATCACCACTTACATTCACGAGAAGGTGGAAAATTTTGCACATCCCTAGAAAAATACGGCTTCAACTGTAATCGGACTAAACACACATCGCAAAGCCTCCTCCGCTTTACACAACCTATTGACCCAAATCTTGCTTCTTTCACACGCGGCATTCGCGATGCCATTCATAATAGGTAGCTACCTCGACGGTACAATTCTACTGAAAATAAACAACTCACTAATCTATTGTCCAAGTAAGGATTCACACGTTCCGTAAATCTTATGTACCCAATTAATCAATGCCATTGTTGTTAGTCAGGTAACTAAACTTAGGATAACGAGTAGGTATTAGTAACTAGATACATTTAAGCTTAATGATACTCGTAGATTTACTCGTAAATATTTAAATTCAATCGAAGGTTTGAATCTATGATCGAATTTGGTTCCAGTTTTGTACTTCGTTTCATAATTCATCATCATCATCATTTCAGCCATAGGACGTCCACCACTGGACATAGGCCTCCCCCAATGATTTCTATAATGGCCGGTTGTAAGCCTACGACGATGGACGTAGGCCTACAACCGGCTTCATAAATCAATGAATAGATGTACCTAGACCCGTATCTCGCAGGGTAAGAATCTAGCGAGTACGGCGCATGGTGTAACTGCGGCGGCTGAGCCTGGGGGCACTGCAGGGACTGCTGGTGCAGCAAGTGGGGGGCCCGCCGGCGGCTGGGCGACGTGGCCCCCAGCCAGGGGTAATTTTGCTGCTACAATGCTTTTCCATTACCTTAACCCTTATCTCGCAGGGTACTAGTCTAGCGAGTACGAACTACGGCGCATGGAACCTGGGGGCACTGTAGAGACTGCTAGTGCAGCAAGTGGGGGACCCACCGGCGGTTGGGCGTCGTGGCCCCCAGCCAGGAGTTGGTCTTGATGCGGCAGCGCGGCCGCGGCGAGAAGTCACGCACAGAATATAGGTACCAGTCGAGCGAATACAGTGCGTGTTACAGCTCAGATTTTTGTTTTCGCTGCTACAACGCTTTTTCATACCTTGACCCATATCTCGCAGGGTAGGAATCCAGCGAGTACGGTGCATGATGCAACTGCGGCGGCTGAGCCTGGGGGCACTGCAGCGACTGCTGGTGCAGCAAGTGGGGGGCCCGCCGGCGGCTGGGTGACGTGGCCCCCAGCCAGGGGTTGGTCTTGATGCGGCAGCGCGGCCGTGGCGAGGGGGTCGCGCAGACCGGAGCCGGCTCTGGCGCGCACCGACGGGAGTTGACGGTGGAGCGGCGTTGCTGGAATGATAAAGATTTTGATTGGACACTTATGGAAATAAATAAAACCACGCAATATAAATCACAACAACCAATAGAAGTGCAACAAAAATAAGAATTCATTTTAAATAGATTATTTTAATTAAGTTTTATTTAATTTATTAGCTTTCAGTGGAATGCAATCATTTTAACTGGAACCTTTTCACATTTTTTTAAATTAATAGATAGGTAAATAAACGGAAACGTAATTTCTGACTAATCAATTTATTGTTCTATTTTATAATACACCTTAATGGCGTCGACAACCCTATTTTCTGAATTAAATTTATTGTTCTCTGAACAAATAAATAAATACCAATACTGTGTAAATACCTATGTAAGTAATCACATTAACATCGTTTTATTATTGCCCTCGCCTCAATACTCCATTTTACAATCGAGAATTTCATTTTTGTACTTGTACTATTTTCATTTGTGTTTCCAATTTCTTTCAAGCCCTCTGTAAAGTAAGAAGGCCTTTCAAAAATTGCGCTCGGACTCCCTGACGGCAGCCGGGCGCGGGCGTTAAACAAGATAACTTGCGGGTGTCAGCATCAGTGCTCTCACTTTACGATCACTGCGCACTATGCTCCCCGAGACAAGGAAGTGTTGGCCGACAGCTTGGCAGAAACTAAATAAACGGGAAAAAAACAAATCGAACCGCGATTCAGGGTACACCCAGCGCCATCTATTGATAGTTGTTGACATTAACAATTTGTGCTTTCATGGTAAGCAACCGTGGTTTTTAAATGCTAAAAAAATAGTTTCTGCTAAATTAATAAATAAATAAGGAGTAGAAGATGTGTTTTTTAATATCTTTATTTTACAGCTACTGAAAAAGTTCAATTTTAACTAGGAGAATACCGAACCGAAGTATTAAAGTTTAAAAGTAGGATTTATATTATTCATTAAATATGTAATGAATTAATTTTGATTTAAAATACGATATTATTTTTAAACATGACCCGAACAAAAACAAAATGGATTAAACAACAAACTCGTAACAATTAGAAGCGGACCTACATCAAAACGCTTAAAAACCAAAACGAGGTGGGTTATTGTGTTTCGGAGCCATTTTAAATCCACATAATTCTTCCTATGTATAGCGGGCAACGGCTTAACAGACAATGGGCGATCAGCAGGCTTTATTTAGCTCGGACAAAGGTCCACCCCATCAATTTATACGGTCTAGTTAATTAATAAAGTAAAGCCGGGCCACATGAACGCCGGTCGGCTATTGTTAGCACAAACGAAACGCAATTATGAAACCGAGTTTTAATGAATTTCACGAAACGTGATTTGCAATAATGTTGATCGAATAATCGAATAAGACCTCCGAAAAGTTTACGTCCGAATGTTGGAAACAAAGCGTCACCGTACGCACGCACCAGTTAATGAATTCCGAAAGTTTAACTGTGCGATAGGCGATCATGACGCGTTTCCTCTATTAATAATCGACTACATTACCGCGGATAAGGGCATCCGATTTAATTCGTCGAATAAATTATCGGCTAACATTTATGAAAAAAACAAATATTCTTGAGCAAAACCGCCGATTTAGTGCAAACTTAAGTACTTTCTTGTTATTCTAATAGAATAGAGACTCTATCGAGTCGATTGTACCAGTAATAGATGAGTTCAAGCTTGGCGTGGGACTTTATTACTAGCAGTCTTCACGAATTGGCTTTATTGTCCCAAATGGGAATCGAACCCAGAACTTCTGGAGTCTAGAAAGTTTATCCAATTAGAATTTGCATTAACAAAATTTGAAAAAGTCGATAGTGACCGACGAGTAGTGCCCCAGCGAGGAGGTTCATGGAAAAGTGGCTTTGCGGTAATCCAGCATTGACTGAATTTGACTGTTTATGAAGCTGCCTTACCTTTGCAGGTTCATGGTAGAGATGTGTCGTTGGCGGCGCGGGCGGCGGTGGTGGAGCGACCAGAGGCGCTGCAAGAGGCGCTACCGGCGCTCCTGGTGATGTCCCATCGGTAGAATAGCCAGTGCTGTATGCACTCTCCGGCGAAGAAAGGTGCGGGGGTGGTAACGGGCTGGTCGCTGGCGCTGCTGGGAGCCGGCATTGCTTCTGCTTACGCTTCTTCGCCCGGCCCAGCTGAGCTTCCATCCATGACTTCAGCCGCGCCCCCAACATGCCGCTGGCGGCAGCTGTGGGATAAAAACTATAGTTAAGCAATGCACAATTAACACTTTTTTAGCTATGCCTGACTGGGTCGACATCAATCTATATTTCTCTATCTACTATTACATAATACGACTTTTATTTTATTAATTATGCAATAAAATATTAAGTTGAACTTGAAAGTATTTGGCTGGTTTCACAAAAATGTATTTTAAAAATCATAAGAGATCCCAAAACAACGGTATTCCATCGCTCCCATCTTGAATATTTCGTTGGAGTCTAAAACAACAACAAAAGACAAGCAAGAGGCAAAAATTCAAGTGGGAAAAACGCTCCTGTCGAGTGTCTGCGGCGGCACAATCCTACCTACGTAAATATTCATACGCGAGCTTCCCACCCTCATACACACAAAAGGCTGTTCATTATAATATCACGTGCGTAAACAAAAGATTTCGCGAACTGCGTTAAATGTGTGACAGAATTGCTACGGCTGCATCACGTTTTCCTGTCGTCAAAACTCGCGCTTTGAAGTAAACAAAAGTGTGACATAAAATGTTTTATCGCGTTGTCATTTCGTCGCGGCGAAAGGCGGCCGTTCTGCCACAATGCGACCGTCTGCCAGTGGCCCTCGCGGTGTCGCCTTTCAAGTAACTCTAGATGCCCGTAAAAGGGAAGAGCTCCCCTAGCTTCATTTCCATCACGAGAAACTCTCGCAAACGCATTACGACTTTCATTAGCGTAATATTGTACATTGAATCCAAATCAGACATTCATTTTGATACTTTGAATTGAGATAAGTTTCAATTGAAAAAGTTTCTCGGCCCGTCTTGTAGAGTTACGCCGAAGAAGCGTTAAGTATTCAAATAAGAACAATTCGTCATAGAAGTGCTTTAAAATGGAATTTATGAGAGATATAAGTATGAAAATATTCTCCGACTTCTAAAAAGTTAGAGCCGTATTATAAAACTTGCAAGTTATGTACAGCATCAGTTCCTTTTCAGAGAAACAAAAATGTAAGTAACTTTATTTATGTATCGTCATCCATCAAATAGTTTTCCTGGTGCGCAGCTGTTTCTCACAGCCGGAAAGCAGCGTAAAAATTAACTGATCTCATAACGGAGCTACTCTATCATTTACAACTCATCATGTTCCTCAGCCTCTCAGCTCAGCAATAATAAATAGAGCGGTCCAATACAAATTGTTCGTACAATTTGTGCATACTGCAGGTATTTTCACCATCGTCCTTTGAGAATTCTACCATAGCAAATTTCAACTCGAAACTGGTTATTATTCAGTGGAAATTGACACTGCATCGCTTCACTCCCGTTCGATAACTTCATTATTACTCGGAGATTGCACTTGACCCAACCCAATCAACTATCAATCACAACGCCCAGTATCCCTCGGATTAGGTTTAGCGTTACCCTAACTGTACATGTAGCACTTCACAGTTTCAACACCCCACCCTCCTCCGGGCCTGTGGGAAACGTATAGCTGCAGAAAAGACGGATGAAACGGGCTTATCCAGTGGGGAGGGGCGAACTTACGAGATTTAGCTAATATTAGCAATCCATTACCGAGCGTCTTGCAGCGAGCTTCCCGGAGCGATCTAAAATTCAGGACGCCTGACTTATTGATGAAGTGGCTAGATCGACCACTTTACCTACCCCAAGACTAAGTGCCGTCTTGTGAAAATTTAAAGCGTGTTTAAGGTCTTACTGACATCAATTGATTATAGAGGATGTCCTGAATACAGGTTTAGTTTGGTTCTGATAAGACAGGCATCCAGATTGAACTTTTGATCGAACTTTACGGTCCACTTATAGGTACGAGTATTACGGTTTCACAATCGTAAAAATTGTCTTACATTATATTTATGATCGCATGTTCCTGACTATGAAGTGAAGCCAAAATAGAAGCCCATTTCAAGGTTTGGTACTAACCATTCGCAATTTCTATTGCAGAAAAGCTATAAATTTACTATATTACCTGCTACGCGAGCGACTGGTAGAACCGATCAACGTTTATCCCACTCCCTTTTATCGTAAGCATGTTCGTTCGTTGGTTTAACAAAATGGGCACGCATTAAAACAGCGGCATAGCAAAGGGCTATACGTTATCCTCGTTTGTGATCCGCCTGCGCTTCATCTCACCCTTTTCACGAAACGGTGCCATTAAAGAACAGCGTGAAGTTTTGCAAATTGGCTTTTATAAGAGCAATCTGTCTGACACAGATATTCTTTGGAGCGAAAAGCGTATTTCGTGTTGTATGATCTTGCTAATATATTTTAATATGGACTTCATTTCTACCTACTTACTTAGCTATACTGTTGTAGATATAATTCTCATAGAAAAGTCAACTATTCTAAACGTGATTAAATTACAGTCAATAGAATCATATTGACAATAAATCTAGTTCTTTCCTAATCTCTTTTCGTTCTTTCATAATCTGTAAGTAACGTAACAAAACTTTACGTCAACATAAAAAGTGGACAATAAAATCGTCCCCCCCGGTAAGCCTTTCTAGGAGTAATGAATTGAAGGCAAAGTAATAAATTGTGGTTTCGGGACAAACGATCCTACTTTCGTGGTCGGGCTGAGCTATTGAGTTAGGCTGCCAACGGTTCCACATTATACAGGGACTCTCCTGTATTTGACATCCTACTTTCGATGTAACATCAAATGTTTTATTTATTTTATTTGCTGGAATGTCTGAATGTATGAATTTTAGTTGCTAGAATTGTCAAAATTATTGTAGTATATTCAATAGCTTTACAAAGAAATGTTAAAATACTATCTAAGAAATATCCTTTGTAAAACAGCGTGTGCTTCGAGACAAGATAGTGTGACGTGACCCACAAATCCTTCAAAAATAAGCACGTGGACATAATAAGCTGTGCATTCTAAGTTTCAGGAGGACTTTGCCCGTCAGCAAATTCCGCATTTTTGGATCAAATTATCTCTACTTGCAGTTGATTGTTACATGAATATTGCGAACTCGTATCTCATGTAAAGACCACGTTTACGTTTACTTCTGAGAAACCGTAGCGTAGTCCTGAAGTTTCCGTAAGAAAAGTCAACCCTTGTATTGACACCGGGAATGAGTGCGACATAAACAAATGTGGAGGGTGGGCGTTATCAATAAAACTGCCGAGTTGCGGGCACACTTACCGCGTTGTTTGGCACCGAAGTCGTCAACAAGGAAACTTTGGGTTGCATGTCAGAAAATTTGAACGTACAAAAAGTATTGGTTAACTTAAATTGCCGCAAAGTTTTGTTACGAAGTTGGTAACGAGCAGTAAAAATTACTTTGATGTTCTCGAAGCGTTTTGACTTTTTCATAATTTTGTTTTATGCGAGCGCTATTATAGGAGCCTACCCTTGTATTCTAATCAATCTAAAGGAATGACTTTAGAAATTAACCAAATAATTTTAATACGCCTGAAAACGTTTTGAATAGTTCAGGAATTAGACACTGTCTGTTTGAATATTTCTAAGACACGCAAAACTGAAAAGAACTGGTACAAAAAACTCCCTCCAAAAACTCAACATCATTTCAACCAATACACATTCATCAAAATAACGCGCGAGTATATCTAAATGGATCGTTTGATAATAATAATAACATTTGATCGTTTTATTGGGGGAGGCTCGCCAGTTTGTGTAGCCATAATCTTATTTTGCAAACCTATTATATTTATCTTAATGGAAAATAAATACTTTGGCTTCTTATTGCTCGCTAACTGCTACTTGCTTACATTTTAAAGATAATAGAGGCACTAAATTCAAGAATTGAGTAACATCAAAAGATAACATCAAAGCTTTTGATGCAAAAAGGAGAGCATTGCTTGGTTGGTTCAAAACATTTACTCATTTCCTATCTTTTACAACTTATCAAAAACATGATTAGGACAAAGCTGAAAACAGAAACTTCATTGTTACCGCTAAATTGTTATTCTTCGGGTTGCTGACGTTAATAGAGAGTCAGCAAAACGTTTATCCGCACAAATAGACACGAAGAAAGGTGAAAAAGCCACGCGCGCTGACGCGGCTTAATTAATAAATCAAATATTCATTTATGCGGGTTGTTAGGGGAGAAAAATAACATGAACCGACGGGATAGGTAGCTTAATGTTGCTCACCTGTGCTTCCTTATTTTAAGATTATATTCATGAATGGGAGAATAATTTTATGTTCCATTAAATGACGAAAAGTAACATTATTGAAGTAAAAATATCAAGCTTGAAAACAGTTTGAATGTTTTTGGTGTACTAACTAGAGTAGTAGAAAAGTAGAAATTACAATACTGTAAGATATTTTCCCATACATCTACCGTTTTGCGATCACGAAAACGAATTTACTACGCCAATCAACAGTAATTTCGCCTTTCTTCAACCCAAGTAAGCAATAAATGAAATTATTGTCTTATTTGCCTGACTACCTGAAAAATATGAAAAAGCTCTCTTCATTTAAGAATTTCGAAAATAAACGCTTTTCCCAGTCTAATCTGGCTTATGGAGCAAATAATTGAATCAATGTCCAAGAGGGTCTTAATTCTGTATATCAAATTTTGAAAGCATTTTGTTTACAAAATCCATCCCCGACGGTTCTGCCCTCACTTGTATTTTATTTTTAATCACTCCGCTTTGCTCAGAGAAATATCTTTTGAGCAAGCTTAACAAGTTATCAGCGTTCTTTACAGGAACAAGGTAAAATGAGAATTTTCTGCTCCCCTCGTCTCGACATAATTACGTTAATCTTAACATTAATCATGTAATTAAGATGGAAACGTTGAACGAAGTTTGACATCATAGGAACTTTGTTGGAGCCTACGCGCGCCTACGAAATGTTTCCTATTAATCCAAAGCCAAAGTCATTATTATGGAAATCGCACATAATTAACTTAGATGAAGTAATTTATGCTTAACTCGTATTTAAGCTAGGTATGTTGTACATACTAATTAAATACAATCTCTATTAATCAAAGCACATCATCGCCGTATAAATGTAAATTTAATTAATTTATATTATATTGAAATAATATCGTTTCAGTCGCTTCATAAAACAGTAGTGCCTACGTGTAGTTATCACTACAATAAAAATCTACGACCAGAGTGGGTTACCGAATAGTTCTTCGAAAACGCTAAGAAATTAGCACACAACACTCAGTTCCCTAGAGAAAATTGAGAACAATTTTCTTTCCATTAACAAAAACAACAATACACGTAAGCGTTTAACATTTCAGCCGTCCGTCGTGGGTGTGGATTAAAACTAAAACAACTATCTCTTTGAAACGTCCACAGAGCGCAGACGAACTATTCCCAAGTGATTTAAAAATTGCTCCGCTAGACGACAGCGGAGAGCGGGCTAATTGCGGGCGCTTTCAAGCGCTGCCAGCGCTGGCTGGAATTGCGGAAAAACGAAACTTTGAAAGGCGAGCTTCCCAGTTTCCCAGACGGCGATTGTGCCTCGTGCGCCGACTCGCTTGCTCTAAATGAACAGCTTGCCACAACCATACTGTAGCTGAACATTCAGCATTTTCTTAATTGTGAAGAACCTGAATTGACCAATATCGATGAATAGATAGCGATTTGATCGAGAATCACTAAATTGAATGAAAGTAACTCAAGATGGTATAGATAGAGGAATTGACATTTCGAACTTTAGACCAATCACAGGCTTGGTACTATTCTGGATTTATATTCAGCTGGTTTTCAGAATACGGGAACAAGTTTAGTCACATCACATACCTTCATACAACATTGCTTTGTAGTCAAAAATTAACTTCTATAGAATTCAGTAATAATTAACCTGTCGGCACCAAGCAATTTCAGTCACAATAGCTATTGTTGTTACTCTAATTGGAACTTGTGGGCTTCAAAACGTTTAAAGCCAGTTCAGCTGAACACATCTAAAAACAAAAAGGTCCAACCAAATTGAAAATGGAATGAGATTTGCCTGAACCCGTGGAGTGCACATATGAATACATCATAGCGTACCATAGCCGCACGTCCTCATAAATCCAATAAGTATGACGTAGACTGGCGTACCAAGTTTGTTTTTCCTCGAAATATGAAGTTCTTCTTCGAAGACGAAATAAAAGAGAGGTTACAAGGTAGAATTTGATACATGAATATAAAGCAAGGTGCAATTTGAATGTTGAAGTGGAAGAAACCTGTCTGAAAGCGTACGCCTTACGCCTCTGTTTCTATATGCCACGTCACTTGCCGTAAATGAACTGTACCTCTAGCATGAACAACTTTCGTCTTCGAATCGTTTGCGTATTCGATAAAATTCGATACTCAATCTTCGAATTAAACGATAACCTGACAATTTTGATTCTCAAAATAAGTTTCGTGCAACCACATCTCATACTAAGTTCACTTTACGACACGTTCACAAGGGCGCTGTTGTAGTTTTCTTACTAAATCTTTTGATGGCGATTCGAGTACGCAAACGATTTGAATTCGATAGTTTTTCGTGCTAGCCGTACTGTCTGCGACAGAGGCGTGAGCAAACTCTGCCGCGATGTAACAAAAGCTCCACATTTGCCAATTATTTTTTATTCACAGAAGTATAACGATGTTCCTCACAATCACAGTACNGACAGTACAATATGCACCTACTCTGTATGTTGTTACCACTGTTGTTACTTAATCGTACTTAGTAATTTTGATAAGTACCTATACGAATTGTAACTATGACCTATGCTATGACTATCAAGTCTTAAACCTTTTAGTATAGAACATTTCAGTATAGACGGGATCGGAGAAGGACTAACCTTTGTCCGCAGAAATAAATCTTACAGAGGATAATAGGGAATGAAAGATTGCATGGGCAACCAATTATTTCTCAAGTAAGGGTTCTGGAAAAAATATATATATAACAAGATAGAAATTGGATTTGACCGCGTGACGTGAAAACCATAATTTCGTGAATAAACGTCAACAACTGACATAGGTAAACTTGCTATAAAGGCTCTGAAATGGGTAAGTATAATTACGTTTTCAGAGGCCTTTCCTAAACATTATGTCCTTTTAATCCTAAAACAACATTAAACAATACGGGATTCGTGTCACTGTCGCAAACTACGGCAAACTTTGCGCCGTGTTATCGCAAATGACATTCAAGCGACGTCTGAGGCCTGTGTGCTCGCTAGCGACTGCGTAAAAAAATGACATTGATTGTATGACATATTGTGCAGCGCCCCTAACGGCTACTTTCAAGAAACAAAATCTTCATTGTCGGCCGTTTGGCGTAGTGGTTCGAAACGAACTACTATTCCGGAGGTTGCGGGTTCGATTCCCGCACAGTACAAACATTTGTGTGCATGAACATATTTGTTTGTATTGGACTGGGTGTTTTCTATTTATAATATGTATGTATTTACAAAAAAAAAAAGTATTTAAGTATGTTTATATCCGTTGTCTAGTACCCATAGTACAAGCTTTGCTTAGTTTGGGACTAGAAGCGCAGTGTAAAATGTCCAAAGATATTTATTTATTTATTATTTATTATTTATTATTATTATAGAGATTTTTGACGTATTCGCTAGCGAGCACACCTAACGTAAACTCATGGTAGGTACACTGATCTTAGGTACACCTTTGGGTAAGTAGGTACGTGTCTGGAGACTGTCGTGTCGCGAATATCAAATTATACACTTGTGTCTGTTGCACAACCCTATTCGCTATTATTTAAGGCTCTACGTGAACACAAAATTGTATCGGACGATGTGATGTGAATGTTTAGAAGGTCGGGTAATTTATTGGCAGTATGTTACTGAAATTAATGAAGTAGAACATTGAGAACTGTTTACCAAATAGCTACATATAATAATCAAATTGTCTAGAATAGTAGGTACGTAAATATGCAGACATATTAAGTAGTGTTTTTTATACTAGCATTTTAACGCGAAAGATTATTAGGACAAATGGATGTTACAGACTTCTGGAAGCAAAAGATACTGAATGGGTATTTGTGAAACTTCAAACATCTCAAACATTAGTCGTATCTTGAAAACTTTTTTTTTCAAGTGATATCTAATTTAATACTGACTCTACTTAATTCAGAATCATTAATCCGTGTCACTCAGGACACTTCAGCGCTTATTCAGGATCGGTGACATACAAGTGGCACTCTATTTTGCAAGGTTTCTTTGATTTCAATTTTGAAGCCCTAAAAATGTGAATATTTATTCGCGATCCCCTCTGTTATTAGTCGACCCTTATTTGAAAACGCTGATTGTGAAAAAATACGGGATTGGATTTTTCAGGATTAATGAGAGGATTTTATTTGAATGCGATGAACGTGTGTTTTTTATCTAATGTTTGCTATGTTCGCTGAAAAGTATACATAGTTCATCCAACTAACCAAGAATTATTTGTTCCTTGTTTCCTAAATGATTTAGTAGCAAAAACCTTTTAGCACTCAGAACAAAAATAGGAAATCCAAAAAACATAAAACGCATTCTTTCTTTTCCTCAATAAGGAACACGACTATAAATTACTTCCGGTCACTAGCAACAACCATTCGTCTTGGCATGACCAGCGCTTTAAGAAGTAGATTTTATGCCAGTTACAAATGAACGACTTATTTACTACTTACTCTACAAACATAGAGAAGGATACTTAACCTAATAAAACGTACAAAGTGACATCAAAAGGGACGAAACTAAGAGATAAGTCAGAGAAAATCCGGCTTAACTAGATTTATTGGGTTTACGTGATCTCCTGAAATAAGTCCCTACGAGTATAAGCACGTGTCATGCTCCTGTCCCATTGGGTCTAACCTCCTTAGCGTTAGTAAACACACAATAAATATGTAACCAAGGAAAACCCGCATGTAGAAAATAGTATTATCTATTCGTCAGAACCTTCATAAAATCCCTACAAAACAGCATGTTACGAGAGAACGGGCAGTTCACATCACATCTCTCCTTATTCAATACACGCTTATTAATTTGAATTCAACACAACCCTTCAGGAGGGATCACTCGGGAGCATCTTACAGGGGCAGTGGGCTATCGAACGAACCGCTCATTTGTTACTGTGCGTTGAGAGAGCGCCGGCAAATATGGATCCACGTGCGGAAGTGTTCAGTACAGATTCTACGAATGTTGAATAAAAAAGGCTGATTTTAATTTTGAGTTGACTTTGAGTTTTTAATTGAGAATAGTGATGGGATGTGTGTACTTACAGGGGCGCGCGATGGTGCGTAGCGGTGGAGGAAATGCTCGAGGCGCCGCGACGCATGCCGGGCGTGGTGCGGCGACGCGCGGCGGCCGCCGACTGACGCACGCGCGCCGCCCTGACGCTACGCGCTACGGCGCTACGATGGGCGCGTTTTGCCGTAGCCGCGTAGCAAATCATCCCCTTCTGTTACTGCCGATCAAGATAAATGTTTTTTTTTAATTAATTTTATTTTTTCCTTGTTGCAAATTTTTCATACGTTTTATTTATATTTAAAAAATAAGAAAACACATAAAGTAAATAACATAACCATTTCCTTATTTACTTTAAGTAAATATACTAGTGACATAGGTTTTGAACGAACTGCAGGATGCATAAAATCGATCATAACATAGAGTGACAGTCAATAGGGTATTTGACACCACCAATCAATTAAAGTACTTTTTAAAACTGTCAAAACGACACTCTCCCATAGATTTTGTACGGCAATACTAGCATGTGACGTCACAATTTTATGAACTCAATGAAAATACTTTTTTCAATTATAATGCAACCAAAAATCGTAATTTACAGGTAATTAAAAATTAACTAAGTTTTTAAGACCAGAAAGAAGTGTCTTTTTAAAAAAGTTGTGCTTTAGAATTATTGGGAAATGGTGTCAAATACCCAATTCCAGCACATATCAAGACTCGTAGCCTACCTTACTATTATACTAACTAACTTCTACGAAACTAAACCAACTTCCACACTGCTACGAAAATAATTTTTACCTGTTTGTCACGTAATTGTCTAATTGTTGTTATCAATCAAGAACGATAATTGCCTCCGTGTGTAATGTTACGCAACAGTCCGCAACCCTTACGTGTTAAGCTGTAGCTCAACTCTCCTGGCAGCTATTAGCCTAATGTGCGGGTTGGATGGGCGGTAAAAATAAACGTGCCCACCGCACGGGCCGCGGCGACAGGAGTCTAAACGGGCGAACTTTGTTATTCATGTTGCGTTATTAAAAACAAACAGCTCCCGGCGACCTTTACAACTCGGCCGCGCCCATAAATCACACTTGAATCTCAAATTTTTGTCTATTTCTTTGCGAAAGTTTGACGTTATTGAGGAAACTCCGACGGCGGCATAATTGCCCGAGGGATCGACAGAATTAAGTTACGGAAGAGGTATTTATTTTCTCAAAGCTTTGACTTAATACGAAGATTACGAAGGTATACAGTTAGCGTAAGTAATTCATTAAAATTACGATAAAATATTCCCTTCGAACCTTATACCTTAAAAGTTTCCTCCTTGTTATTATTTTATTATTTATCGATAAATAAACAAAAATATTTAGTTAACTTATGATTGTGCCGATAAACTAATTATAAGTTACCAACAAAAAAATGATACTCGGTTCTTGAAAGATAACCGTAAAACATAACAGGCAAAATTATCGAGGACTCTACATTATTTTTATAGTAACTCTAATTATTCAACCCTGTCCCAAGAGGCTTGCTTGAACGGATCTTATTTTTAAAGACATTTTTTTTTATTTATTTAATGGGAAAGATAAATAAATAAAAAATGTACTTACCTTATTTAACCTTAGATTTGACTAAAATAAAATAAGTATTTAAAACGTGATTTAATATGTTTTTAAGAATATCGAATAACCCTATGAAATGTTCTGTCACATGAAAAGTTCCGAGTTTTCTAATGGCATTTTTTTTCTCTTAACCCCAATGCAAAAAGAAAAGCGTTGTTACTGTGATAATAGCTTCTTGTGGTTGCAGAAATAGAGGTCAACTGCCTTACTGCACAGAAATGAATTGATGGCTTCTTATGTTGAACTTTATTGTGAGTAAAATAAGGTTAACTTCTACAATGCTTTGCAACTGACTGAACTGTGAAAACGGGGTATATGCGATTCCTTTTTTTGTGAATTCGGTATACTCTCATAGTGAAATATCCATCAGTAATGTGAAAACTAATTGGTAAGTAACGTACCTAAGTAGGTACCTAATAATAAACTGCATGGGCATTGGAAAAGTGACTTTCTGTCGTTAGAAACAAGATTGATAATGTTACTTATGAGTAGGTATGAGAGAGTATTTATCAGTTCCCGGGAATCCCGGGGGTTGAGCGATAAGTGAATAAAACCGCGGGAAAATTCTGATTTATTTAAGTATCTACCTACTTAGGGCAACTGTAAGTGGGGAACAAATTACAAAATAACACTCCTTATAGAACAAAAACAGAATATGCTCAACTGAACACAAAACAGCATTGTTTACAAAAAACTTACCAGGTATGGCACCGCGAATTTATAATAAATTACCACATACCATAAGAAATAAAGAAGACTTATTTATTTTTAAAAAAATCCTACACGACTTTTTAATTGATAAAGCATACTACTCAGTTAGCGAATTCCTCCTGGATAGATCCATTTAAAGACATTATTCTACATAAATTGTTTGTTTGACCTTGTTATTATCAAATCTATGTGACAAATTGACATACTAATGTAATATTAAATTCTATCTACTAAATTTGACATTGTTAATTATTATTGTGACATTTAATTTAATTCTTTTGTATAATTTCTTGAATCACGAAAAATTGATTCTGTTGCATGCCGATATGGTATGATGTAGCTGAACAATATATTTTTTTATGTGACCTATAATATGNATTCTAAAAATGTGTTTAATTTTGCTTTACCAATCCAAAAACTAATACTAGGTATTAATTCTAAATCTATAACAAAGATGGCGTTTATGTTTACAAAGGAAGAGAGAGTAAAAGACAGGTTCATCTTTTTTAACTGTTATTTACTCTAGTATTCAATAGATGTCACTGTTTGATGACAGCGACAACACAAAATACATTCATTCATTCAATCTTTCTTTCTTTCATTCATTCATTAGTAAAGTGTCAAAAAGTTGTGATTTAAGTTTGCACGAATATTTTTTATTAAATTTATTGTTTAAACCGTGATATTTCACACAATCTTACGGCTTTCTGTTGTTGAGTTTACGTTTCAATATTATAGGCTGTTAAACTTTGAAGAAAATTTTATATCGTGTATGTTTACATAAACCAAGCACCAAGATCGAATAATGATTTGAATCACAATGAAAGCGCATATAAAATAGCTAGAACTAAGCGAAGTGTGAAGAATATCGGGAGTGCACAGTAGTAGTTTAAGTGTGGTGGTGCGGATATGGCAGACAGCGGTTCTTTTGTCGCGAAACCGGTGCGAGGTTGGCTTCACCCAGATGCTGTGCTCGCCACCGACGGGGTGACATATGCGGTCCGGGTAACTATCGCATAATAAATATTTAAGATTCCCGTAGAAAATTCTGGACTGAATTAGGATTCGACCCTATATAATTCGTCATAGAGTTAAGCCTCTTACTGGCTGGAAAAGTTACATCTTTCCTTTTCAAGACAATTGCAATTGTTTAATTATTCGTTATTTTCAGTACATCGGTTGCATGGAGGTGCTGACTTCCATGAAGAAATTAGACTTTGAAACAAGGTCCCAAGTTGCCAAGTAAGTGATTGATTAGCACAAGCATTATTGTGTGTTCCTCTAATCAAAAGCATTTGTGTTAATTGGTGTTATTATCTTTTGGTTATTTGAAATGATTTATCACTATTATGGATCATTTAATTTGAAGCATTTACTCATTTTTAGTTCCTTGAACTAAATAACCTAGATTTATGTTTAAAAANTTATGAAATATTTAATTTTACAGAGAATGTATAGCTCGAGTGTGTGCAGCAGCAGGTCTGCGATCAGCGGATAAAAAGAGAAGAGTTTGTCAAGCGGCAGCCCGGGCCCTGGCACAAAGGCCTCGCATGTCCCACTCCGGAGCCAACGTCGCGCTCACAGTATCCTCCAAAGCCATAACACTATCAGAATTGGAAGGCGGAGAGACAGTAGCTAGACACGACATGCCCAGAGTGTCCTTTGCATCAGGAGGAGATTCCGACTCATTAGACTTTGTAGCATACGTAGCTAAATCTGCACCACCAACGGAATGGAGAGCATGCTATGTACTAGAATGTGGTGGGCGGTTGGCACAGGATGTAATTGCAACAATAGGACAAGCATTTGAATTGCGTTATAAAGAATTTTTGACGAAACCTTCAACGTAAGTATGATTAATACATAATCTATTATCAAATTCTTACTCATGAATTCTATTGGAATCTTTATGACAGTAACTGTTGATGATCAGCATTTTGTATGCCAATATTAAGCTTATTAACCCTAGAGTAGTCGCGCCTTTCCGTGAAACGCGAGTGCTCGCGTATGAGCATTTTGCCGCCCATACTTAAAAGTCGTGGTTGGGTTTCAAATTATATTTTAAAAATATGAAAATCAATTTAAAAGGATATAATAAAACATATACTTTTAGAAAATAGTATTTATCAAAGATTTGTAGTTAGAATATTTAAAAAAAAAAAATGTTTTTGGAAATGTTAGGAAATGTTTGTTAAAATTTTAGAAACGTCATTGACTTTACCTACCTATATCATGAAAAATTACTTATTAGCACACTTAAATGTTTTCTTCATTTGAAACATGTGCATAAGCAGAACAGTTCTGTCACTTGTGTAATCATTGTGCATAATAATGCATGTTGCACAGTAATTTTGCACAGCCATTGCACCCTTGGCACATCATGGTCAGATTCTGCCGCTGATTGTACTGTATAAGTATTATCCTGACTTTGTTCACTTTCTCTATAACTTTATTATAGTATTTTTCACAATGTTTGTGCACCAGCTTCTTTGAAATCCGACTCCTCTTCCTTGTTTATTCTTTTTATCTATTTTATGTGAATCTTACCGAAAAAGATATGAAATCAATTATCACCAATACTAAACATCAATGTTATGACGTTATTTATGTCAAAACAACATTATACGCAATGGAAACTAATAATATTTCAACTACACTAAAAACCAGTCACACAATTTTTACTTACGTCAGTAGTCGCGCAGTGAGCAATTTGCCGCAAAACGTGACATACGTTCAATAATCGTTCTCTATTGCGGTCACCTGCGCACTAAATTTCTTCTAATTTCTAACACATGTAGGTGAAGTATAGAGTAGAGGGGCAGCGACTGAAAAGCTTGACCTTGACGAAAGCATCGTGTAGAAAATAACCCGATTTTTTTGCCGAGGGCGGCAAAATGCTCATAGCGCGAGCACTCAAGTTAAATTCTTGTATGTATACCTAAGAAATCAATTATAACTTGTATCAGAAATGGTAATCACAATATTTATTTATTTATTGCACATAATAGATACATTGTATATTGTTAGGTATATTATAGGTACTTTATATTAGTTAATATTTAAAATAGGTTGAATATAAATGGATCTCGAGGGGCTTGCTCCGGGGACGAAGCGTCGTCGTCGGTGCCGCTGGACGACCGCGACTACTACAACGACATGCCCGACAAGATGCCGCCGGACGCCGCGCCCGCGCATCGCCACCCGCCGCCGCCGCCCCTCGCCGCGCTGGCACCCCTGTCCTCGTGAGTAATAACATGCCTGTTCATCTCCGCGAGTTTACATCGAAAACAAAACACGCACGATGGCCCACCTACAGGATACTATTCGACAAGGCCTCACATACGAGCGAACATTGTCTCACGCACGCGTATTCTTGTGTATGATGAAAGAAAATAAACAAAATGGTGTACTATACAGGGTGTTAGGTAAATGGGTATATGAGCCGACACTAGCCCATGTTAACATGGGCATATAAATGGTATGGTGAAGTCAGAAACTTGATATCATCATTTTATTTTTTTTAATTTTCATACAAAATAAATTTTATAAAATCCGATTTGTATGAAAATTAAAATGATTAAAATTAAGATATCAATTTTCTGACTTCACCATACCATTTATATGCCCATGTTANATATTCGCATCATTTCCTGCAAATAAAACTATAGTAAAGAACATAATTATTGTATCGTGTTCAATTTTAATTTGCAATAAGTATCAAAAGCCCCCAGACTCGTACTAATACTTTTGACTATACTTACTGTAATTTGTCCGTTCACTGCACAAACATAAAAATGTGGCTTTTTTTTCATTCTAAAAATGTGTTTAATTTTGCTTTACCAATCCAAAAACTAATACTAGGTATTAATTCTAAATCTATAACAAAGATGGCGTTTATGTTTACAAAGNAGTCAGAAACTTGATATCATCATTTTATTTTTTTTAATTTTCATACAAAATAAATTTTATAAAATCCGATTTGTATGAAAATTAAAATGATTAAAATTAAGATATCAATTTTCTGACTTCACCATACCATTTATATGCCCATGTTAACATGGGCTAGTGTCGGCTCATATACCCATTTACCTAACACCCTGTATACTGTAAAGTATTTAACTGCCTAAATAATAATAAAAACACAGAATGTACTTTTTTAAGTTGCCTCAAGACACTGAGAGGTAAATAAGTAGTTAATATTTTTCATGAGAATTCATGCTAAATCATGAATTTCCTCCGCCATTTTCCGCAGTTTGGCACCTCACGTCACATCATTTTACCGAAGTCAGCCCTATAGCTTCGGCGCAGTGCCGATCACTGACGTTTGTCAACAAAATGGTGCTTGACTCTTGAGACAGGCTAAATTACACCATATTGTTAATGACATTGAGCATACATTTTTTTAAATACCTTCGCCAAGTAAAACTTCTGTACGTAGTACTTATTATTATTCTGTGGTAATATCTACAGGGTGGAAACCATAAGTGAATCTCACTCGATTATTTCTAAACTATACAAAATATCAAAAAAGCTAGTTACTGACCCTGAAAGTGCTGCATGAGCTCTTTCAAATGGTATCAATAATAAGAAATATAAGAAGCTAGAAACATTGAATTTTCGAATAGTTCCAGTTTATTCTGTAACTTATTATTAGTACCATTTGAAAGAGCTTGTGAAGCACTTTCAGGATCAGTAACCAGTTTTTCGATGTCTTGTATAGTTTAGAAATAATCGAGTGAGATCACTTATCGTTTCCACCCTGTATACTAATATTATAAATGCGAAAGTAACTCTTCTGTCTGTCTGTCTCGCTTTCACGCCTAAACCACTGAACTGATTTTGTTGAAATTTGGCAGGGAGATAGTTTAAATCCCGGGAAAGGACATAGGATAGTTTTTATCCCGGTTTTTAAAACGGGGACGCGCGCGATAAAGTTTTTCTGTGACAGACATAATTCCACGCGGGCGAAGCCGCGGGCGGAAAGCTAGCATAATCAATATCTGAGATAGACTGCTGATAGATTGTGTTGGTGGACAATAAGCATGCCCGACAAGATGCCGCTGGAGGCTGAGACCTGATGATTCAAGACTATAATCCGGGCCTTTTTAAGGCGAGACTGAATAGGCACTTACAAGGCAGATATAGTTCCAAAATACTGGACTGTCCTATCGATGACATTGACAGTGGGGCGCCACCGTCAATACCAGATCGCTGGTTCCGATTTTTGCCATGTTGGAAACCATATAGTTGAACGATGGTAGCGCCCCCCTGTCATTGAGTTTGGTGGGACAGTTCAGCGTGGGTCATCTATATGTACCATCCTAGAGTTATATTGACATATTATTATGTCAAGTGTTAATTATGGAAGAAAGATTATATTTCTATTTGTTTATAAAATACATACATCCATAACTGTACCCAAATCATTCTGCACTATTCATCTTTGCATGTCGGTTTCGATTTATTGATCCATGAGTCATAGATTTACAAACAATGGACAACTAAGTAACTTGTCCTCCCGTATCTTCGTTTGCACAAGTTTAATTATGAGAGAGATACAGTTTCTAGTTCTATACCATTGTTATAAGTGCTTTTTTCCTGTGATGAGGATCTGGTCCTCACGCTACTAGTTGCACGCGTGTAGCCCGAGTAATAGAAAAACCATTTATTAAATACATAAATGCGGGTCTGTCCGCACGCATGCAGAAATCCGCATCACACGAAAAAGGCACTAAGATGATAATATATTTATATTTTCGTATATTCGACCGCTACGTCTTCCAGCCCGCGGTCGCCACTCGAGAACTTTTCTGCCCCAACGGCCATCGTCTCTACGAGCTATGTGCCCCGCCCACTGCCACTTAAACTTAAGACGATCTCGTAAAGGTCGCGGGAAGAGCCTGGATGCGGGCAGCGCAGTACCGTGCATTGTGGAAAACCTTGGAGGAGGCCTTTGTCCAGCAGTGGACGTCATTTGGCTGAAACGAACGAACGATATTCGACCGCAGTCTGTGGAGGAAAACTATCTGTGGTCGCGATCCTCATCAGTGAGGGACCAAGTAAGAAGCAGACGTGGGATTTCTATCAATACAATGATCATTTTATGATTTCTAGGTGCGAGGAGAGCGTCAGGCACTACGTGAACCAAACGCCGCCGCCGCGGACCCCGCCCACTGCCCTGTTACCGAACCATCACACCGACATCTTCGATATGCGTGAGTCATCGTACTTTAATAATCAAGAAAGCAAACAAATTAATGCTCCTATCAATATCTAAACTAACTAAAGCATTACTGACGTAGTAATAGTAGGGTCGATTCTGCAACAAAAATGATGGTCGAATGTGCTGTAAAAAAAGAGTATATTTATTTATTATTATGCTGAACTATCCCAGATACCTTTAACTATACCTGTCACAGGCCAAAATCTCTTTAAGAGAAATATTTTTTTATAACAGCTACTGTATTCTGAAACCCCATAAAACATTCATGTCTATATTAAACATTCATAGTACCACATTACCTGTATTGCGGATGATTATCCTGTATCCTGTTTTAAGTCACAAATACCTTTTCCTGATGTGTGCCATACGCTATTAAAATTACAGTAGAATCTCGATTATCCTGACTTCGATTATCCGGATATCCGATTATCCGGACTCATTCTTCACGGTTCTTATTACCGATTTAATGTCTGGACCCATCAAAACGGCAAGGCGCCGCCACCGTAACACGGTACAAACGTCGTCTTGGTTCATTGTTATAAGAAATGGATTCATCCAATGGTCTAAAATGATGTATTGAAAACTCGTTCTATTGTAAAAAGTTAATTATTGTTTGATTTTACTTTGAAATCGATTATCCGGAACACCCGGGTTTTAATTGATCGGGATTCTACTGTATATTTAAATTCAATTTTGATCATCATATTCTCATAATATTGCATAATACAGAGTTAATTAAGCAATGGAAATGTGTAACACAAAAGTAGAAAAGTTTCTTAACAAAAATTTATACCTCTAAATTGATAAATTACAAAGAGTTTTGTTCAAAAGACTAAATATAACATACAAATTCTACCCTAATTTTGGATAACGTTTGTTTGTGTAAATCCAACCTTTCCTCAAGACAACTGTTTGCAACTTCTCAAATTTTTCCTGATAAGTACAAATTATCATGTAACAAATGAAGCCTGGAAAACGTTGACTGACCTATAAAGTCTAAAGCGATTTTGCAAATCTTTTAAGCTTTGTTTCAAAACCCGCAAACTGTTACGTCGTGTAGCAACGACCGACTCGGAGTTGTTTTGTTTACAAACATTTTTCTTTCTTAACTGGAGGTGTGGCAATTATGTAATACTAAGTTATGGCATTAATAAAATGTTTTTGAGAATGTAACACAGATTACAATTTCAATTTTGTGTGTAACATTTGCAGTTTAGTCATAGGACCATAGGGCCTTAGGACCTCATTTTTAGCAGTTCAGAACTCTTAAATTCAATTCCCAATAACAAAAAATAAAATAGCTTCATGTGTTCCATATTATACAGTTAAAAATGGTCAGTAGCATACAAAATTTGACATAATATTCCTAATTGTGGCTCATTGATTGAGCCCTTCCATTTCCCTCCATTTTTCTGTCGTCTCTCGCCTCGTCAATTTATTGTAAAACTTCTTCATTTAAATACCTGAGATGCGTTTGTTTTACAAACATGACATTCTTTTATTTTATTCACCCAGAACCGTTCACCGCGACCCCCGTGACGTCATCGGCGCCGTCATCGTCCACGGCATCGGTGTCGTCACCTGCTGCTGACGCCGAGCCGCTGTCGCCGCAGGCGCAGGCCGCGCTGCTGGCTAAGGAGCCCTGGTTCCATGGACCTATCTCCAGGTCTAGAGCTGAGAAGGTATTTATCCCTTTACACACGAGAATAAAAAAGTGTCAATATTTTAATAAAACTTTACTTAGGGGTTATTTTAGAGTTTAAATAAGATTAGAAAAATACTTTAAAAAAATTTGAATTTTCAGTTTTCCTGAAAGTATGCCCTCACGATAGNTTTTAGACGTTGTTTGTTGTTAAACTAAGATGGTGCAACCCACCTTAGGACTGTTTTGACAAATCCGTATCGCGATGTCGTTTTGACAGCTAATTTGACAGCGAAGCATTGACGTAAACAGAGAGCAGAAAGAAGGAAGAAACTAATTTAAAAAAAAAAAGCTAAAAAAAGGAAAAACAATCGCAAAGTCATAGACATTTTTTAACTTTTATTCGATTTTGAATGAACTTTTATGTCGCCGCGTCGTTGGTGGTTCAATGTGCATTTTGGCTGCCATTTTTCGATCGAATCGAATTACTGGTGACGTGGCGACTGACATTAGTGAAAACTTCCTATTGGTTTGCGATGGCATTTTGACTAGACCCACTGGACTGTCCTGTCATCGACAGGACAGTCCAAGCAAAGAAGCAAACATCTGTGCACAACAACTACTGTGACTCATTTTTGTGCTACCACGTTGTATAGTCTAGTTATTTCCAAATTGTAAACGGCTATTAAACCAGCCCTATCGAAATACAGTCCACTCTTTTATTTAAGTTCCCAGTAGGACCCTTTTCATGCGATTAATTAATGATATTAAAATGTATTATGTAGAATCGCTTTGCCATTGACAGATACATCTGATGACAGAGCTTACATTATTTCTATAGATGACCCTTCTATAAATTGACAGTGGGGCGCCACCGTCAATACCGGATCGCTGGTTCAGATTTTTGCCATGTTGGAAACCATATAGTTGAACGATGGTAGCGCCCCCCTGTCATTGAGTTTGGTGGGACAGTTCAGCGTGGGTCATCTATACATGGAACGCATGCAAGCTTCGCTACTGCAGTGGCGAACGTTCTTTTTCAACATTAAAACGTATTAAAAACTAGCGGCCGCCCGCGACTTTGTACGCGTGGATCCCGTTTTACCCCCTTCATCTACGCGGTTTAGATTTTTTCATCTACGCGGTTTAGATTTTTTCCCGCTAACTCCCGTTCCCGTGTGAATGTTGTAATATCCTGTTGTAACTAAGCTTTAAGTTTACTAAGGTACCTGCATGCCAAATTTCAAGCGTCTAACTTAAGCGGTTTAGATTTTTCATACAAAATGATTTTCCCGCTAATTCCTGTTCCCGTGGGAATTCCTAAGTATACTATAACCTGCCCAGGAGTATGAAGAATAATTGTATCAAGTTTCGTTAAAATCCGTCGAGCAGTTTTTGTTTTTATAAGGAACATACAGACAGACAGACAAAAATTTTACTGATTGAATTTTTGGCATCAGTATCGATCACTAATCACCCCCTGATAGTTATTTTGAAAATATGTATATTTCATGTACAGAATTGACCTCTCTACAGATTTATTATAAGTATAGAATATACAGGGTGGAAACGATAAGTGATCTCACTCGATTATTTCTAAACTATACAAGATATCTAAAAATTGGTTACTGATCCTGAAAGTGCTCCACGAGCTCTATCCAACGGTATTAATAATAGGTTACAAAATAAACTGGATCTATCCGAATATTCAATGTTTCCAGCTTCCATACATTTAATAAAACCACATAATATTAAAATCTATACAAGATATATAAAAACTGGTTACTGATCCTGAAAGTGCTTCACGAGCTCTATCCAACGGTACCAATAACAAGTTACAAAATAGACTGGATCTATCCGAAAATTCAATGTTTCCAGCTTCCATACATTTAGTACTGCCACAGTCATGGCACTCATGTCTTGATGAATTATAGCAAGTAAAGCCTAAAACCAATATTTTCCATGATTAATTGTAAATTAGAATGCAATTAACGAGTTCAATTTAAGTGTTTATTATTTAATAAAAAAATTAACACTTCTAATATTGTGTGGCTGGCATACATTTAGTATGGAGACTGAAAACATTGAATTTTCGGATAGATCCAGTTAATTCTGTAACCTGTTACTTATACTATTGGAAAGAGCTCGTGAAGCACTTTCAGGATCAGTAACCAGTTTTTCGATATCTCGTATAGTTTAGAAATAATCGCGTGAGATCACTTATCGTTTCCACCCTGTAGATAGATGAATTAAGGAACACGATTGGACAAGAACGTCTTAATCATCTTACTTTGTTGAATATAGAGCATGATTTGCTTAAAGAAGTTGATATTGAAAGTGTTATCTCTAAATTTGCACACATTAAATCAAGAAAAGTTCATTTGTAACAGTTTTGTTTCATTTAATACCCTAAACTTGAGAACCTAATGCCCGTTTTCACCATTAATCCCTAATTTTTAAGTGACCCCTATGGTAACAAATAACAGGAATTTTGTTTACATAGGGGTTACTTATAAATTAGAGATTAATGGTGAAAATGGGCATGAAGCAAACCAAGGGCCCCTTGATAGAAATTTGCTACAGGCCCCGCGCTGGCTTAATCCGGCACTGACCATCCTAGAGTTATATTGACATATTATTATGTCAAGTGTTAATTTTATGGAAGAAAGATTATATTTCTATTTGTTTATAATACATACATCCATAACTGTACCCAAAAACATTCTGCACCATTCATCTTTCCATGTCGGTTTCCATTTGTTGATCCATGAGTCATAGATTTACAAACAATGGACAACTAAGTAACTTGTCCTCCCGTATCTTCGTTTGCACAAGTTTAATTGTGAGAGAGATACAGTCTCTAGTTCTATACCCTTGTTATAAGTGCTTTTTTCCTGTGATGAGGATCTGGTCCTTACGCTACTAGTTGCACGCGTGTAGCCCGAGTAATAGAAAAAACATTTATTAAATACATAAATGCGGGTCTGTCCACACGCGTGCAGAAATCCGCATCACACGAAAAAGGCACTAAGATGATAATATGTTTATATTTTCGTATATTATGTGGGCGGGAGTTTGCATCGTGCGGTCCACACAGCTTATGACCGCAGTCTGTGGAGGAAAACTATCTGTGGTCGCGATCCTCAACAGTGAGGGACCGAGGAAGAAGAAGACGTGGGATTTCTATAAATACAATGATCATTTTATGGTTTCTAGGTGCGAGGAGAGCGTCAGGCACTACGTGAACCAAACGCCGCCGCCGCGGACCCCGCCCACTGCCCTGTTACCGAACCATCACACCGACATCTTCGATATGCGTGAGTCATCGTACTTTAATAATCAAGAAAGCAAACAAATTAATGCTCCTATCAATGTCTAAACTAGCTAAAGCATTACTATTACGTAGTGATAATAGGAACGATTCTTCAACAAAAATGATGGTTGGATGTACTGTACAATAAAGAGTATATTTATTTTTTATGATGGACTATACCTGTCACAGACCAAAATCTCTTTTCAAGATAAATTGTCATAACAGCTACTGTATCTGTAAACCCCATAAAACGTTCATATCTGTATTAAACATTCATAGTACCACATTACCTGTATTGTGGATGATTATCCTGTATCCTGTTTTAAGTCACAAATAACTTTTCCTGATCTGTGCCATACGCTATTAAAATTATATTTAAATACAAATTTGATCATCATGTTCTCATAATATTGCATAATACAGAGTTAATTAAGCAATGGAAATGTGTAACACAAAAGTAGAAAAGTTTCTTAACAAAAATTAATACCCCTTACTTGATAAATTACAAAGAGTTTTGTTCAAAAGACTAAATATAACATAAAAATTCTACCCTAATTTTGGATAACGTTTGTTTGTGTAATTCCAACCTTTCCTCAAGACAACTGTTTGCAACTTCTCAAATTTTTCCTGATAAGTACAAATTATCATGTAACAAATGAAGCCTGGAAAACGCCGACTGACCTATAAAGTCTTAAGTGATTTTGCAAATCTTTTAAGCTTTGTTTCAAAACCCGCAAACTGTTACGTCGTGTAGCAACGACCGACTCGGAGTTGTTTTGTTTACAAACATTTTTCTTTCTTATCTGGAGGTGTGGCAATTATGTAATACAAAGTTATGGCATTAATAAAATGTTTTTGAGAATGTAAGACAGATCACAATTTCAATTTTGTGTGTAACATTTTGCAGTTTAGTCATAACTTTTTCCCTTAGGACCTCATTTTTAGCAGTTCAGAACCCTCAAATTCAATTATAGATGACCCAAGCTGAACTGTCCCACCAAACTCAATGACAGGGGGGCGCTACCATCGTTCAACTATATGGTTTCAAACATGGCAAAAATCGAAACCAGCCATCCGGTATTGACGGTGGCGACCCACTGTCAATGTCATGCATAGGACAGTTCAGTATTTTGGAACTATACCAATAACAAAAAATAGAATAGCTTTATGTGTTCCATATTATACAGTTATGGTCAGTAGCATACAAATTTTGACATAACATTCCTAATTGTGGCTCATTGATTGAGCCCTTCCATTTCGCTCCATTTTTTCCTGTCTTAGCCTAGTCTCTCCTCGTCAATGTATTGTAAAACTTCTTTATTTAAATATCTAAGAAGCTTTTGTTTTACAAACATGACATTCTTTTATTTTATTCACCCAGAACCGTTCACCGCGACCCCCGTGACGTCATCGGCGCCGTCATCGTCCACGGCATCTGTGTCGTCGCCCGCCGCGGACGCCGAGCCGCTGTCGCCGCAGGCGCAGGCCTCGCTGCTGGCTAAGGAGCCCTGGTTCCATGGACCTATCTCCAGGTCTAGAGCTGAGAAGGTATTGAACTTTACACTCATGATCTCAGTCACAGGACGTCCACTGCTAATAGGCCTCCCTTAATGATTTCCACATCGCCCGGTTGGTAGCGGCCTGCATTCAGCGCCTTCCTGCTACTTTTATAAACATTACACTATGACGTCATTGTGTCGCTATGATATGCCAAAGAAATGCCGCCAGAGCTATCAATAAAACCAGAGCTACGTAAAAAGTATTTCACCCTTTGAAAAGTGATGACATTATTGGTGTAGATTGGTGAAGATACAATTGGTCGTAAGACTTGTGGCGTACACAGTATGAAATCGTCTCTAATCCGGATGGGGATGATTTTTGTGCTCAAATGAAAAAAAAAGTTGTAACAATTGACCATTTAATTAATACTAGCTTTTGCCCGCGACTTCACCCGCGTGAAATTTAGGCTTGATTTCCTTTTGGGCTGACATCGGTGACCGACGTCAGCGGCGCGCACGATTACACTAGTTCTATGTAATCATCTGCCACTGACGACGGCGTTGCAGTGCGGTGCTTCATAGAACATTGTGTTTCTTCGTACGCTCGACCGATGTACGCGACCGACGTCAGCGTAGGAGGAAATCAAGCCTTAGTGCCACAGATTCGCATAAATTATAGCCTATACTATATGTTAATCTGGGTTACAATAATAATACTGTAACAAACATCCACACAAACTTTCACCTTTATAATATTAGTAGGATTTAGATCTACGTGAAAAGTCTACTTAACCCTCCATCAGACAATAAAAATATAACCACATTATTATGAACTTTCTTTACCTGTTTTAAGGTCCAATACCAATGTAAAAAACGAACTTTTCACTCGACTATACTATTTAATATCTTTTGCAGCTAGTGGTCGAGGACGGCGAGTTTTTGGTCCGCGAGAGCACGGGTTGCGCCGGGCAGTTCGTGCTGACGGGCGCGCGCCGCGGCGTGCACAAACATCTGCTGCTCGTCGACCCCAACGGAGTGGTGAGTGGGTCGATTGTGAACACCCCAGTTGGGGATATAAAGCCCAGTTTCCACCAAGGCGGCGCGGAGTACGGCCCGATCGCGAACGTCGGTCTGCGACGGACGCAGACGAGTCTGGGCTTCGCTTTGCGAAGCTCACACTCTGCCTCGTCGGCACGCGCACCGACGATCGCCAAACGGCTAGAGTACCTTCTGTACTCGCCACTGCCCGGGCCACTCGCTACCAGCGCGCGTCCCTTAAAAAAAAGGGCGCGGAGACGAGAGGTGTGCGGCGAAGCCGGCAGGCTATTTCCACCAAAGCGGAGCAGAGAGGAGGCGAGACGAGAAATGTGTGAACTGTCAACTGTCAGTCTATTGCTGTCTATGAAACGCCGCAAAGCACAACTCCACTCAGCACCGCGCCGCCGCCGCTGTCAAATTCTATAGAAAAACAACTGCGCTTCTCCGCTCGATCCATTTCCACCGAAGCGGAGCGGAGTGGAGATATGAAAATAATGAAATATGATTGGTTTGTTTAAAACACTTCTTTGCTCCGCTCTGCCTTGGTGAAGGTTATCCGGGGTGGAATCAGTTCCTGTTAGTTTCCCTGAGAAGTTCTTCTTTAACTTTGGTGTAAAATGTACCCCAAGTCTTCTTTTAAATAATATGTTAAACTGTAAAATGTGATGATTTTTAGCTAAAAAAAAGTCATAGGTAACGTCTTAATTAGTTTTGAATGTACATCCCGATCGAGCTAACTGCGCACCTCGCTGAAATGCGACTCTCCTTAGTTAGTACACCATCCCGCGTTCGCCCCGTCCAGTACCGAGCATCAATGTGACGTCATGGGCGCTAGGTGCGCAGTTAACTCGAACGGGTTGTGTGTGATTTTATTTTATTTGAAACACATTACCTCAACTTTTAGCCACATTACCTAAAAAGTTGTTGACAGCGTCAAATCACAATTTTTAATGCCAAGCCTTGGATTTAACTTGATAATTCTGTCCACCAGGTGCGAACAAAAGACAGCGTGTTCGAGAGTGTACCGCACCTGATCAAGTACCACTGCAGCAACGAGCTGCCCATCGTATCGGCTGAATCCGAGCTGCTTCTACGCAAGCCTGTGCCGCGCGTATAAGCCCCGCCTCCCACGCCGGACCATCCGATGACGTCACGCCGCTTGCCGCCGCCGGAACATCCGATGACGTTGAATAGGTAACCACTATATTTTACCGATAGTAGCCATCTTATTTTCTGATAGTGGTCATCATGTATGTCAAACATACATAATGACCAAAATTCTTACCAACAACACCAACATACTTCTCTTTTAACAAGAGCTGTTCTCTTGTTGCTCCTTAACGCCGCGGTATCTCGACTTCATTTTAATTGTCGGTGTCGTGAACCTACCTATTCGAATCGGTAATTTGACATCTGAACACATACAACCAAAAAGTGACGGAAGAACTTGCACCAAAAATTTATTGCCCTCATTGGCCCCATTTATGTATAACAAGGGCATTCACTAATTTCATTTGTCAAATTAATAAGATTAAGACATAAATATCTATTTTAATATTGTAATCCTTGTCTCTATTGAATTGACTGTATCGCAATAATTCACACCATGCTTTCAGTGCCAGCCAAATATTTTTGATGTGTATCCGAAGAGGCGAGGTTTACATCTACGGTGCGACCAAGCTATCTTTGAAATTATTTGTTACAAAAATAATAGACAATCTCCTACTTGACTCTAATCATCTGTGAGTAAAGTCGCTCTATTGTGAGAGAGGCTGTTGTACTGTAGCATTCACCTTTATTTGTTACCAATCATTCCACTTGGTCGCGCCGAGTTTTATTTTAAGATGTCACCATTAAAATTAAAAGTTTAGCCATTCATAACACTTCTTTAGCTTTGCAACAGTATATTTAAATACATCAATCAAATATTTAAAAGCAATACAGGCTAAAACCTTTAATTCCATTTTAACGCTGAACTTTTAAATTTAAAGGTCGATAGGTGAACGCCTACTCATCATGTCGACCTTAACGTAATTGAGAAATATCACTAAAGTCATGGGAATTATTTTATCCAGCATACTTTGTACTGGCATTAAATCGCATGGTCCCGTTTTTGTATTGTACTTCACATCATACCTGAATTTTAGTGATATTTCGCCGACATTGAGTGCTAGTGTGAGCAATTGGCCCCAAATTTTTTGGTACCATGTGTATTTGTGTCACCATGATACAATTTGAAAAATAATTAGCTAGGCTCTTATTTTAATCAATCTCTCGTTGAATATAAAATAAAATTATTTCGTAGTTCTTTATGTGTCAAATATTTTAAATAGACAGATAATGCATCTGCTAAATAAATGAAATATCAGTTGTTATGATAGATGCACTTATATTATTCGCAAATAGATCACAAGAGTATATCGTCGTTTCATAAAACAAAATATTAAAATTGTTATCTTGCACTCATGTACTTGAAGTGACGACGCGATGCGTAGTCGTGCGCTGCGCGTCCAAGCGTCCACGCACCGCGCGCTCTTGACACCCACTTGTATGATGTTGAAATATTGTCTAGCTAGTGCGTAGTTCTATGCAAATTATATTCCAATAAAATGTATTTATAATTATATTTTTTGATTATTTACTAAATGTATGTTATGGAATTCTAAGTTGTTTACCAAAGCCACTACGGACTTGATATGAAATGTGATTTATGGTAATGTATACAATTAGTTGAAGCACTTCAACAATGCACATTGTTGTAAAGTTTTATGTTAGTTAACTGCGAAAAATGCAATATTTGTTACTGTGCAATTACCAATACCAAACTAGGTATATGATGCTTATTCAGGAAATTAACTAATATTTTGCTATGAATTCTTTTACCGAGCCCACTCTAATGTAACCAATTTAAGATTTTATATTGCGCTCTCTCAGATTGTTATTGTTATTTTTACCGTGTTTTATTTTATATTTATACTCTTTTATACGCACACATCTGATTTAATACAATACCATACACAATACATACACTGATTTAATACAATATAGGTGCTATAATGCTAATTACAGTAGAACGCCGATTATCCGACTTATTTGGGACCGGGGTCGATTCGGATAATCGAAAATTCGGATAATCGGACTTAGACTGGTAATAGAGAAAAACGAACTTTCGCACATAGAACAAACTTTAATAAGTTTAACAAACAGACATATTTCTATTGAGCGATATTGTAGAACTGCTACAATAACGCTCAGTTGAAATATATCTGAGTTCCAACAAAATAAATTATCAAAAATTACTTGGTTTTAATTTTTTATATTAGGCTTAGAACCGATTCGGATAATTGGCGATTCGGTTAATCGGCGTTCTACTGTACTTACTTAAATATATTAATTATAAATGTTATATTATTTTATTGTACATAATATCATCACAAGTCGGTATGAGAATTAGTATGTTTTATTTTAAGACTGTTCGAAATTAGACTCCAAGTATATTACTTTGTAAGTGATGAAAAATAGTGTCATTTTAGTGCTTTAAATTCTCTCAAAAATGAATTTCTTTAGTTTTTATTGTGTAACCTAATCTTTAGTGACAAGTTGATGATGTTTTATCTTGTATCTTAAGTTATTATTATGCATTTTATCTAAGACGAATGCAATGATTATGTACTGCTTCCGTTGTAAATGCACATCCAATGTATGTTTATCGAAACTAATGTTGAGTCGTACCTCAACTAAATAAATGCTCTGCAACCAAATGTTGTTTTTGCTTACACAACCAAGTTTCCTCGTCTCGTTCTTATATTTTCCAACAACATCTACTACTCATGTAATATTCAGAGTCCGAGTTTTCCGACATCTGGGCCGGTCATGTATTTGGAATTCAAATTGGAACAAAAATGTCCCAATACTGTCGTTTTAATGCGAAACCTCTCAACCTATTTGTGTGATACTGAATAAGTGTTTTGCTATTTCTGTATAAGTTCTAGAAAAAACGATGGCCCATTTCATCAAAGTAAATAAATAAAAGCCGTTTTGTAATACAAAAAGTATTATTTGTGTGCCTAGTATGACAGCAAAGTAAAAGTAGACCTACAGACAGTTTGATGGAATTATTCAGAAGTTTGAAGGAAAAGTAAATAAAAAATAAGCTCCGTACTCAATTTTGTTTATTAAAATGTAATATTACAGTATAAACAGTAAGGTCATACATGGCAGTGATGTTATAATTACTTATAAATTATCGGCATTCGCTATACAAAATCCGACTATACTTCCTCTTTGCAAACCTTCGCTGACCGCCGCGACACCTTGGAACGCAAATACTTAACATTGAAATCTCACTAACACATCAATAAAACTTCAAGAGAAACAACAAACGACGGTGTCGCGGCGGCCGTCCCGCGTACTGCCAACCCTGAGCTTACTCGCCCTAATCCATTCTAATATACGCCAATCCTTGAAACGAGTTTAATTATGACTAATTTATATTCGAATTCAGACGAAAGAACAGTCAATTTAGTTAACAAACCTAATTTTAATGTCGAATCCCAAACATGACAAAACAGGCAGCAATAATAATGAGATTATGAGCCCGATTCCAGGTTGCTTAATTTAAACTAATAGTCAGCGTTTGTTTTCCCTAATATTAAATTAAAATAACCACCAAATTAGAACAATGAAATTAAGTTTAATATTATGTATGTAGGTCTCCATTTGTTTTATCGATCTTCAAGCAGAAATTCTTCTTGAGCAAAGACTTTATGCAAGTCAAATTGGTCCCTATTGAATGAACGTTAATAAGGCATAAATAAGCTTGAGTTCAATCTTTGCTCAGCAAGAAATCATGCTTGAAAACAGACATACAATATGGGGATTAGTTTTAGAGACAATAACAATCTCAGAATCGGGCCCAGTCAAATAAACCGTTTCATACAATTTTCCTTTAGTCACTTGCCTATACGAGTATAACATTCTTTGGGACATCGCAGCACTATTCTCCAGACCCTGCTAAAACGCAAAGTCCCTCACCGTGCAGTACACTTACAAACTACTAATTCACTATGAGACTGTACTATAAAATCAAACTAACGCAGTCACAGTACGATAAAAATAAATAAATATGCCTCTATACAAAAATAACACATTTATATCGCGGTGAACACCTAAGCGCCGAGACTCGGCGGGCCGTCCTCTCCCGTGCGGCCGGCGGCTCTCACGCCCGCCTCTGGCCCACACTCTACCCGTCTAGTGTCGCTAGCACTAGCACTACTCGCTACTCGCCCGAGGCCCCGCCATACGTCTCGTGCGCAACAAAAGCCGGCCACCGTCGCCAGGAATTGACTCTGTACATTATCTTATCTCGCACAATTACAAAAGTGATCGAGGAGCGTGTAAACGGCTACGTGTGTAAACATTTTCGCATTACAAAATTACAATTTATCACCAAAATACTCTATCGCGACCGAAAACGGGTCGCGCGGGATCGACACACGCACACGGAACGATCGAGGCGGTCGGCGTCTAATACTGGGGGGCGCCACGCGCGCGGCGCTCAGTCCGGCGTCAGCGGCGGCGGCGCGGGCGCGGGCGGCGGCGGCGCGGGCCGGTGCAGCGCGAACGCGTCGTACACCTGCGCCAGCTCGTCCACGTGGTGCTCCTCCAGGCACAGGAAGCCCGCCAGCGCCGGCGACGCGCGCCGCGCGCACGCCAGGCAGTGCACCACGTGCCGGCGCTCGTGCTCGCGCACCAGCAGCGCGTGCCACACCTCGCGCTCGCACGCGCCGCAGTAGTGCGACGCCTCGCCGCGCGCGCGCCCGTGGAAGCGCACCGCCACGCCGCGCGCGCGCACCGCCGCCAGCGTGCCGGCCGCCGCGCGCAGCGTCTGCGCCAGGCACGTGCGCATGGCGCGGTGCAGGCGCGGGTCCGACACGCGGATGTTGCGCGCCAGGTTCCACGTGAGGTGCACCATGGGCACGATCGACTTGAAGTTCTGCACCTTGTTCCACTCGTAGCGCTCGAGCGCGAGCGCGTACTGGCGCGCCGTGAGCGGGCCGACGTTCCAGGCGATGTTGTTGCACCAGCCGGTGGCCTGCACCCAGTGCACGCAGCCGGCGTTGACCCACACGAGGTCGCCCGGGCGCTGCGTGAAGCGGAACACGGGCACGCCGTGCGCGCGCAGCTCGTCGGGGTCCGGCCACCACGAGCCGTGCAGGTACGACAGCCCGTGCCGCTCGCACAGCTCGCGCACGCCGCCCCAGTAGGCGTCGGGCACGCCGAACCACTCGCAGTCGCCGGGCCCGATGTTGATGTTGATCGAGCAGAAGTTGTTGTTCTCCTGGTGGCCGGGCGTGCGGCTGCCGGGCACCTTCATGTACAGCTGCACGGTGTTCATGCCGAGGATCACGTGGCCGACGTGCGACAGCATGTTGGCGGCGGAGGCCACGCGCGCGAAGGCCGGCAGCTTCTGCAGCTCGGTCAGCTGCGGCCGCCACTTGCGCTCGTCGGACAGGTCGACGTTGGTGCCGAAGCGCAGCATGCGCGCGCCGCGGCGGCGCTTGGCCGGGCCGGAGCCGGACTCGCGGCCGTCGGAGTCGGACAGCGCGCCGGCCGCGGCGCCGGCGCCGCCGCGCTCGCGCTCGTCGCGCAGCGAGTCCTGGAAGGAGCCGGCCTGGTACTGCGCGTACTTGCGCACGGTGGTGTGCGAGCGGTGCGAGGCGCAGGCCCACACGCGGCGGCGGCCGGTGGGGTCCCAGTTCTCGTCGGCGGACTGCATGAGCTGCGTGCGCACCTCGACGGCGTGGTCGGGCCAGGCCTCCACGAGCGTCTTGGTGGAGAACAGGCCGAGGTCCAGCTTGAGCGCGGCCGTGAGCCCGCGCACGACGGCGATGGGGTGCTTGAGGCAGAAGTCCTGCAGCTGCGGCGAGAAGGCGTCGCGCTTGGACTCCACGTACACGAAGGGCGCGGGCGGCGCCAGCTGCTCGGGCGACAGGCGCGGCGGCGGCACGGCGGGCGGCTCCGGCGGCCCGCAGCCGTCGCCCAGCACCGACCACGCTGTGGGGGGGCCCGCGTTTTCCCTGGAAGTAATTAATATTCGTTATTTTCCATCACCAAATCGAGTGGCTCAAAGTAACTAACTGATATAAGTCAAATCAAATGACACTAATTAACTATGAAACAAACAGAAGTAATGAATACTGACTTGCAGGCGTCGAGTATCTGCTTCGCAGTCATGCCGCTGTGGAAGGCGACGGGCTTGAGCGGGTCGGTCTTGAGCGGCTCGAGCTTGACGACCGGCTGCCGCCCGCCCAGCACCACGTCGCCGCCCGCCCCCACGCACGCGCCCGCGCTGCCGCTCTCTGCTGGCAACACAACACCAGCTGTTAATATGTGCACTACCAGACACGCTAGACAGCTAGCTAAGGTGACTAAAGCCTGGTCCGTGAGCACGTAGAATTTTGTCCAATGACCCCTAGCTACCCATCCTTATNTATTGCTGTCGCGACTGTGTGACTGGCACCCGCAGTGAGTGTGCGAGCGCTATAAAAACATAATTACGCGCGAGCGATAAGGATGGGTAGCTTGGGGTCATTGGACAAAATTCTACGTGCTCACGGACCAGACTATAGTATAAATATTAGCAGTGCTGCCGTACTGATACGAAAGACAAATTATAATGTATTTCGAAAAGATACAGGATATAAGGATTCCTATCGCAGAATGATGGGCGAGGGCGAATAAACTATACGCAAATTCAAAATGTAATTTGACCAATCATTATTAGTTACTTTATCAATTTTCATCCCCAATTAGCGTACACAGACACGAGGAAAATCGTTTCCAGCTGGCGGCTTCACAACCGTTGAATGGTTGAGACTGAAAACCTACATACACGGCACGTGTATTTGACAATGTATGAGAATAAGTTCATACGGCTCGTTAACATTGAGGCAATACCGGGCCGGTGTTGGCGCCATATTGACCCTGATACCGCCAGCTGTTGGAAAATACGAGTCTAATTTTCATTTTCGTTTAACATAAATTAAATATTTAAATGAACGCATCATACATTCAATTCAGTTCCTTTCTTATGACATCAATGAAAATCATTCGACAATATTTGTAGCCTTTATTTGACAGAAAAGAAGGATAAATAAATATGTACCGTTAAATATATGGTCAGTATAGAACGTGAATAACAAAGGTATACAAAAATAACGAGAATACGTAATGTAACTTGTTGCACAATGAAATAAGACACGTAAGAAGATAAAGTCCTCATACACGAGTAGGAATCCACGCTCACGCACATAAAATGTATATGGAAATGCAAAGTATTTTGAATGCGTTACTCACTTCTATTACGCATCGTTACAAATAAAGATTACGTTATCATTGCACTTTTGCGGCTAAACTATTGCGGTTTTGTTGCATTTTGATTGATGACTTATTAGACAGCCACTTTGTCAATAAATCAAATGTGATTGACGGGTTATTACGAAAAAGGCACACCAAAAAGGTAATTAATAGTTTTTTTAATGAACTAATAAACTGATGTTACAGGGCAAAAGAAATATTAATTTATCTTATACAGGGTGTTAGGTAAATGGGTATATGAGCGTACATTAGCCCATGTTAACATGGTCATATAAATGGTATGGTGAAGTCAGAAAATTGATATCTTCATTTTAACTATTTTAATTTTCATACAAATCGGATTTTGTAAAATTTATTTTGTATGAAAATTAAAAAAATTAAAATCATGATATCAAATTTCTGACTTCACCATACCATTTATATGCCAATGTTAACATGGGCTAGTGTCGGCTCATATACCCATTTACCTAACACCCTGTATATATAAAAGAAAGTCGTGTTAGTTACTCCACTTATAACTCAAGAACGGCTGAACCGATTTAGCTGAAAATTGTCAGGGAGGTAGTTTAGAGCCAGGAGAAGGACATAGGATACTTTTTATCCCGTTCGAAATTTTAAAAAAAGTCTGCTTATTTATTGCCATTAAGGCGGAACAAAGTTCGCCGGGTCAGCAAGTATTTTATAAATGTTCAGTTCATGCAAACGATACAAGTCTGTTGCTTGTATAACACAAACTTACGCGGAAACCGACTTAACAATCTTATAAATTAATGCGAAAGAAACATTGTTTTGTCTTTCTTTTACGCCAAGAAAAGATTACTTTATGAGCGCCTGATTTTTTGTTTTGTTCACGTTTGAAGAATATCTAAAAAAAGTGTAAAGCAAAGCTATCATTATCCAAAACGGTACTGTATTGGGCAACAACAATAAAACTTGTTTACTCATCTTGAAACAATTTCCAAAGGGTTAACAATAAAGTTATATTTGGACCGTTTTATTTTTATTTATGGGTTTATGACGTAGGAGGACAAAGCGAACAACCGATTGAATATGGTCATGGACAGACGCCTAAATTACATCGTATATGAGCACGACACGGCCAGACGAGTCATATTATCATAAGGAATGATGCCCGCGAATTAAATTAATACGCATTGGAATTTGTATTGTACTATAAGTTCCAAGTATCTCAATTATTAAATCTGTGTAGCTGCATTTTGATTGGTAAATTCAGTAGCTGTTTCATGATGTTTTTGAGAGCTAATGATTTGATACATCGAACATTTGGTGCAACAAAGGGACATGTACAAAAAACATTACATTCAGCTGCTGTCTTTCATTTGTCGAAACGAACGTCATAAAGGTTCCTATGAAATAAATAACTATCTTTATTATTTTAAATAAATACTTACTTGTGACAGGTTCCTTCTTGATATCAGGCTGCGAGTCTGAGAATCGTTTCAACAGATCTTCGGCGAGCGACTCGGCGTTGTCGCCGGTCGACGCACTACTGCTACCTTCGCTTTTGGTCACCTGCAAGATAGACAAAAATATGTCACAAAATTGGAATGATATTAAGATGTTCTTATAAATATAGCCCTAAAAACCTGCCGCCGTAAGGAAGGGAGGGGTAAGGAAAGGTACAAACCGTACGCGCCCGCGCTGCCTGCGCGAGACGATACTGTGATAACAGTTGCTGCATCAACGCCTGTGAACAATCACAACATACTTTATTATTCTATTGGTTTACACAATTTGTAAAAATGATAAAAAACCAACCCGAAACGAGCAATCGCACCTAAGTGATAAATACAAAATATACCGAAATGGGAATTCCATCAGTAATAAATTATGGGTATTTTTGTCATTGATATCGGTAAATTAATTATTATAATCCATTTCCTCTTACGGAAATACATAATTTGCATTTATACGGAAAAATTAATACGAAAATACAAATTAATCACGGGGATTCTCTTCGATTTGATATTAATTCTGAGAACCATTTGTATTGGATGGGAATCGCGGGGCCCCAACAGGATAAGGAAGAAAGGAAGAAAAAAAAGTCAAACACGTGTTTCAAATTTGGAAGAGCAAAATATTTCGTATAATACGTCGAGTAGGAAAGGGAGGCGAAGTAGGTATTGCCAGTTTTAGACATTGAAACTTGTATGTACTTGTTGGTGCGGCGAGAGGTTGTGCGAGTTCCTTTGCAGGTACTGCAGCGTCTGCAGCTGGTGGTGCGTGAGCGGCGGCGGCTCGTCGGGCCGCTTGCCGGGGTACGGCGGCGGCGCCGACTTGGGCGCGCGCGACGACATCTCGGCAGAGATCGGCAGGTTCCACGCCTCCTCGATAGATGGCAGCTGCCGCCGTCTGCGGAGAAATGGTTAAACTTAGGCCCAGAACAGACGGTGAAACGCAACTGCAATGAAACTGCAACTTTCTGATGATTCTGATGAATGAAACTGAAACTGAAAGCTTCAAACTGGTCGCGTCATGTGTGGGCTCTCAACGGACGCTTTGGCAGAAACTTAGATGCATTTCAAAAGTAACTAGCAGTTGCAGTTTCGTTGCAGTTGCGTTTCACTATCTGTTCTGGGCCTTACACTATTTTCTAACTAATAAAAAGTTTCATGCGTGTTTACGATCTAAGAGTGGATTCGACCAAACAAGAGTAACTATTAATCTCAGAATAAATCGTCAGTTATTCGTCATTTTGACACATTTCCCATACTGAAACTGTCAATGTGCCAGACCAGGAGTCATTCTCGGATAAAAGTTTGGTCGAATCGGGCCTAAACATGCTGCTTGTTTGTACTGATAAAATGCTAAGAAATACCGTGTCATATCTGATACTATTAAAGTTTCGCACGATAAAGTCATTACCTTGTTGATGATATCACACAACACAGATTCAACAACGACGTATTGAAATCAACCAGTTTGTGAGTCACGTTGCAGTTTGGAGAATTAACAGTTTTCATCATAAAGACACGAATAAGATTCCTAATGGCAACTCGTATGTACCGTAAAACAACAGAACTATGAGACATTTCGAAGAAGTCCTCGATGTTGCTTAGTTCCCAGTAATTGAAGGCATCATAACGTGTTTCCCGCCGTAGCCGTTTAAATTACTCGTAAAGTGGTCCCATACCAGCTATTAGGCATTATTTTCGTAATACATATTAGAAATGCCCTTATCTAGTCTCAGCATTGGAGACCGTGACCGCCTAAGTACCACTTCGCAGTTAAATACTCCAAATTCCCACAAGAAATGCATAGTATGTACTCACTTCCCGGTGACAGATGGCATCGGCGCGTGCGCCAGATGCGCTCTTAAAAAGGCCAGCCTCTGCCTCAACGCCGCATTGGAGGCGGTAGCCGCCGTGCCTCCATTGGTGTAACACGCGAAGGCATCCCTGGGCATCTGGCAGCTCTCGTATAAACTTCCTAAGTTGGTCCACGCGGCCGAGTGGCCCTTGTCCAATTGCACCGCACAGATGTACGCCTGCAACGCGTCCATCGGCTGATTCTGCTGCTGATACAGCACCCTGTTGAATAATTAACGGTAATCACATTATGGTAAGCGACGGGGTCATTGTAAGTAAATTGCATAATTATGGGTTACCGTATATGGACACCGCGATTTGGCTTTTAGATTCTTGTTACTTATGTAAAAGTCAAGTTATTATTGAAAGAACCGTATTGCAATTGAATAAGACCTCGATTCGCAATTTTTATTCAATGCTTAAACCCAGGTCATGTTTGGTAAATAAAAACGGAGCGCAGATTCGTTCGGTCTCGTTTTTTCACTTGTACCGGAGATTGAACTCTGGGAAACCAGTTATTAAGTCATTGGACCAGCGAGGCGTCAATAAATGAGGACGATAAAATTGTTGAAATTTTAATCTACAGCTGTTTTTTTACATTGACTCTGAGAGGAGAGTGGATAACAATGCGGTGACTGCTGGTAATGACACCCATGTTGCAGATATTGATGATAAGATAATGGATAATTTACACCATTCTTTAATTTATAACATTGTTACAATATAACTTAATTGAAACGTAGATACATATTATGCAGTTTTCATGTCGTCGCGCGCTTGCATTTTAATTAATGAATTATTAAAAAATGTAAATCACTCATTACTCTTTGTTTTTTATGCAAAAACATTACAGTGCACTTGTGCACCGTGCTTTTTTCACATTTACAAACACACTTTTGCATAAAATGCATTACGAGTGATCAAAACAACAAGGTGATTATAATAAAACATCTAAGTAATCATACATACAATGTTGTACAACGTGCCACCTTGAGAGTTGGCTGCGCATGAGTATTATTATTGAAATTCTCACCCTATCGAGCACCAGGTGTCGGCGTTCCCCTCAGATTTCTCCACGGAGTTTCTGTAGACTATGAACGCGTCGTGCACCTTGCCCTGCGCGGCGAAGCAGCGGCCGAGGAGGTACAGGCCTGCGCCCGAGTCGGGCTCCGCGTTGACCGCGCGCTGAAGGCACCATATGGCGGCGCGCGCGCGGGCGGCAGGCTCGCCAAGGGACGCGCAGCGGTGGTACAGCCACCCTGATCAGATGGTTTACATGATACACACATTCATTTACATTTTTAACCCTCGATGCAGAGGGGCGTTAGAGTTTGATGTGTTTGTACCTTAGCTACATAAGGGTACTATTTTCATAAAGTTTTTTTAAAGGAATCTCGTTGGTTTGATATTTGGAAATACATATGTAAGTACACCTACGTCTGTCATAAGAAATTTGCAAGTATCTACTGCATACTGGCCAAACTAAACTGTCTGTCTAAACATAAATTGCTAAAATAAATACAGTAAACTTGTTGAATAATGTTTGATGCAATGTTAGAGTAGAGAGCGTGTAACACGCAAACAAATATCTTCCCAATTCTATTGGTTGGCAGGAAGCTCCAAATGTTTTAAGGACACGATTTAGCATAATATTATTCTTCAAGGTTCCCGTCTGGAAGCAGCTTGTGCACAAAAACCTTGACATCAATGACACGGGTCCTTGTCAATTGGAGCACAATGTATGGCTTTCGTGGTGCATATATTTACAGGCAGGTGCAATGTTCTGATATAGGTCCTTTATGTTTTATGGATATGGAACTGAATGTAAATTTCTTCATTATTGAAGCTAAATCTTAATTACATTTCAATTTAAATGTAATTCCAGAATGCATTACGTAAGTCCAAGAGACATTTACATTTTATGTCTCCAGTATGGGTTAAGCCAAAACCGGTATAGCAACCGAATAGAGTGAATTTATTTATACAACTAATTCTACAATACTCTCTGCATAGCCGTACGCTATTACTGGCCTCGGCTCTCTCATTTCCGATAGACTTCATTGCGAAATGACATTACAAATGCAAGATCGAGAAAATCTAGTTTCTGTTCAACTATGCAATAGAAACATCTAGTAATTTATCTGTATTTATGTATGTAATTAAAAGCTTTTTATAAGCTTCAACAGTCCACAACTACGATACCGGATGAATTGATTTACATTTACATGATGTGAAGTGAATGAATTGACGTCATGATGTAGGTTGTTGTTTTATTCAGTCTATACAGAAAATATTCTAATGTAGGGATAGCGACCTTATTTGTTAACGTGACATTTGTTTTGGAAATAAATTCAGTAAATTATACCATGACGCTATCGTCGATTATTTACTCAAATAAATTGGTAAATTTTATTGGCGTGCCTGTATTATTAATCGCGGGCCACACTACTACTGGCATTTGCCATTCCTAATTTAGTGCTTGGAGCAGTGAGACAGGGAAGTTAAACTTCTCGAGAACTTAGTGCTGCTATTGCTAAACAAAAGAAATTCATAGTTACCTAATTGCCTGCAGACGTCGGCCTTCAGCGCCGAGGACAGTTGCGGCTCCTTGAGCAGGCGCTCGTAGGCGTCCCTGGCCAGCTTGCGGAGCCCCTTCGCCTCGAGGAGATGAGCGGCGTGGAAGCTGAGCTCCAGCCGCGTGAAGGTGGCGTCCTGGTGCGGCGCGAGGCGAGCGCGCCGGAAGTGCGCCGCCGCCGCCGCCCAGTGCCGGCGCGCCTTGAACATCAGCGCCAGCCGCAGGTGCGCGTCTGCCGCCCGAGAGAAACCCGGCGACACGTACAGAGCCATTTGCAACGCCTTCGTCGCCCTAACACCAAACAAACCCACGTTACACCCGCCCCATTGTTCTGACACAATGAAACCAATAAAACGATTCGACGAATGCCTCATATTCTAGTGATGTCTAGAACAATGTCAGAATGAAGGTTGCATTCGTATCGCTTGCAAGGTCGTCTTTGAAATTGTCCCCGCTTAATTGCATTTCCAGGGTAAATTACTTTTGAAAAAAGTTGGAGCGAATACAAACAGAGCGCAATAAAATAAAGAAGCGGTAGTAAAAACTCTATTTCTTTAAACGTATCCCTATAGAATTGAACAATGCAGAAACGAAAGGTTTTTGAATTCACTCCACCTATCCCGTCCGAAAATCTAAACCGGTCTGCCTTTGTTGAGAAGCTTTGTAGTTTTGAACATATTGCATTACGCTTAGTGAATTTAATCGTATAAAAACATCTTCAGATTTTGTTGTGGATTTGTACATATAAATCCGTCCAAATTGTTGAGAAAAAAAAGATGAAGACGATTCAGGTAGGAATTTTTATAAAATGGGTCGAGCCTATGACGAATTTCTTTTAATTCTATCTTATAGGCACAATGTCGAAGCTTGATATTTCATTCTATCAGAATTCCGAAGAATGCGGCGAAGACGTCAAGGTGCGTAAGTTACACAAAAGACGAATCGAAGCGTCCATAATACCGGTAAGGTTATTGAGGAGCGCATCACCGAAGCGTAACGTCACCGATGCGCCCGCGGGGTCGATGACCGTCTGAGGTTCGTTCGTGCAATCGATCGGACGATGCAACGCAAGTAACGTCTAGACAGTGATCGCGATCGCGGTCCGAATCGGACGCCTACCACCTTTATTTAGATGACCTCCTCTGACATTTGCAAACCGAAACAAAGGAGCGAGACAGGTGGTGTCCGATGCTCACCTCGATAGTAGCGACGACTAAAATTAAATGATTACACGCACACACGCACCGTCTGCGGCGAGCCGAAGAGAGCTTTCACCCACAACGTCGCCCGAGGCATTGCTCGACATACATAATATCCTCACTCAACATTGCTTTTTATTCACATTCATTGTTCCACGGAGCTATGATTGCCAGCTGACACGCAATATTCAAAAGTATGATCGGAATCGAAGCGCTACATTCAGTGTACGGTCTACCCTTATTATGCCATATGACTTCCCCATTACGATTTGCTCCGAGTGGCCAGTTATTACATTTTTATTGTCAATGCTCAACCGAGGGAGTAACAGAAGTCGCCTTATCCAGAATTTCCTATTTTGTTCATTGAATATGCAGGAAGTTGTTTATTGAATGTTGGCAAGTCGTCATGTTATCAAAGTGGCTGCCAAAGGCGTCGTGGATCGCACGGTGAACTGCGGCGTAGAGTGCTTTGGTCTGATAGGCGGGGTGATTAGATTCGCCGTCCACACCCGCCCACGCGCTGATAACGCTCGGACATTCATTCTGATAACATAATGGCATCATCGATTGTAACAACACGGTCACACATTGTACACTAAAATACACTACGCTACGATGATATCAATGACTTACACAAAACGCATGAGCTTACATAAGCATAAGAAACAGCGAACAATGAAAACAAAACTTATTAATATGTATGAAACACCTTTTTAAATGTGAAGAAGACTCGTGTAAAAGCAGCACGAGTAAACATTTACATTGAGTTAAACCTACACGAAAGGACATTGNTTTAAAATATGTTTAACAATGTTTTTATTGCCACGTAGTCAGTTAATACAAGCAACATGATATTAAAACCGCGCAAGCATCGAAGGCCGCGAGGATTATCTTAGAATTCATTCTCACTTGTGTATGTTTACGACGAACCGAAACGTATACACATAAGAGAAAATAAATATGTATAATGTACCCAGAACCCCGATCGATTATATCCGCTCGCCGACCCAAGGCGCATTATCAGTTGGCTCAGGTAACCAAATTCCCTTATTTTCCTGTGTACCCTTGGCTGTTCCCTTGATGGTACAGTGGAAAATAAATTTTAACCGCTGTACCCTTGGCCGTAAAACCCAACCAACTTAAATTGTACACGTGACCAGGAGGACTAGCTTTTCTTGAATTTGGCCAAAAGACAAAAACAAATGAACATCGATAAAAACAAATGAAGTAACATGGATGTAGATAAAAGTAAAACCTAATTATAATTAATTAAGTACATGGAATAAAGACAATATTACGCCATTTTTAACCGACTTCAAAGAAGGGTACACATTTTTTTTCTATTTATGTTCACCGATTACTCCGTTAATTGTGGACCGATTTTAAAAATTCTTTTTTTTGTTCGATAGGGTACACTTCTGAGGTGGTCCCACTGTCACCCAGTCAGGATCTGATAATGGGATCCTAGGGAAATATTCAAGTATATGCATCTGGTAGTCATCATCTAATGTTGATGAGGTGATGATGGAAGGTAAAACTCCTTAACGATTAGGAGTTGGAGAATAATTATTTAAATATTTTAGGTACGTATGTACATACAGTTGTATTACTTCAGGTTTTTTAGGTGAGCTGATGATGAAAGGTCAAACTTCGTAAGTTAGGAGTTAGATGATACTTTTTAGTTGCCCATATTTAAAGTAGGTAGCCTGTATTTGTAGGGAAGATTATTTACACTTAAAATGGAAAACTATAGTCTCAATCTCATTAAACATAGGTACTGTCCATCTTCAGTGAGAATAACAAGGACTAATCAACTAAAAAACCTGAATTAAATTAATTTTACCAAAAAAATTAAAACCGACTCAAAAAAACCTGCACTAAAAAGTAGAAAATAATTACATTATTTATTTATTAGCACAATTTTGTTGTGAAATTTATCATGGAAGCTAATTGCACTGACGATGATATACCTTGTTTTATTGAGAGGAATGGCGGTATTGTTTTATTACATGACGGTTGATAGTACTACAATTTTGACATTTCAGAAGTGGTACAGGAAAATGGCGTAATATTGTCTTTATTCTATGTACTTAATTAATTATAATTAGGTTTTACTTTTATCTACATCCATGTTACTTCATTTGTTTTTATCGATGTTCATTTGTTTTTGTTTTTTGGCCAAATTCAAGAAAAGCTAGTCCTCCTGGTCACGTGTACAATTTAAGTTGGTTGGGTTTTACGGCCAAGGGTACAGCGGTTAAAATTTATTTTCCACTGTACCATCAAGGGAACAGCCAAGGGTACACAGGAAAATAAGGGACCAAATTTACGTACCGGCAAACATCTACGAACCCCTAATATTTATACAATTAAAACCCCGTTTGCTTATAGCTATTTAAATCCATAGCGAAAAATAATTGATTTGAAAAGCGTTGAATAAATGAACATCTGGTTTATCGCTAACCAACCAAGGAATTTAAACTATTCGCGAAATCGAATTTTGTACATGAATATACATTGCAATGAATACAATTCAGGTCAACATGAAAGAGTATTCCAACGTCTCGTTACGTATGGCACATAAACTTTGTAGATGACATATTACCAAATATTGTCCAATACAACAAAGGCTTATCACCAAGGCAAGCGTCTCAGAAGAAAGCAATACTGGCATTTGGTTTGTTTGTTTTTTTAAACTGACTCAAAACGATTAGAGGAAAACAAAGTAAAATAGTTTGGTCTGATGACGGATGCGGCAATAAAACGAGTAGAGCGCGACTCAAGAAGCCAGGATTAGACGAGGAAGTGTTTTCGTGGAATGTGGGCATCAGAGTGGCGTCGAGCGGCGTGGCGGTGTACGCGGCGACGGAGGGGAGCAGGCATGAGGCAGCTCGGCCTGACCTAGTTCTGCACTCGGCTCAAGGACGGATCGCCCGCTATAAATAGAGTTCATTCGTCGGTCGTCATAGCATCGGCATCGCACTCACTTTACATAACTGAAGCGAGTCGCTAGGTGCGTCCGCGGCACGTGATTCGCTGCCGGCACACCTAATGAACGAAGTCGTTCCCACGGAGCCAACAGCCGGCCAAGGGGAATGAAATACACGTTAATAATTCATTTACATATCGTGGCATGGGATTAGACGTTCCTCAATCGAGTGGTAACTACTTCAAAATTCTCAGCTAGCCCGATTCATAATGAACAGTTGTGAACCGGGTACCTATAAGCAAGCAGTAATAAATACCAACATTCTTGTATACAATTTTATGACTCAACGGGCATTTGTACTTGATAAGTACCTACATATTAGACAGCTAGTCGTGTGCTCGTGACGGCGTGATGCAATCAAGCGGTGCATTCAACATAAACCTGCAATTCACCTGACCGTATTGCATCACGACCTTGGTTTCATGGCAACATAATGCAACTAACTGCAGTCGCACGCACCACATAACAAGGTGCTGCTAACGCTCGCTATTGATTCCCAAACTACTTCACTATAATTAATATCGTTTCCGTACGATATCGGCAATTATGAAAGTAATTAAGAAGACACGCTTCATGACTTGGAACAGATCCAAAATCAGACAAAACAAAACATTCTTCATAACGAGCAAGACAATAGGAACATTCAAAAACACGTCAGGAATTATGATGAAACGTGACGTGAAATCTAAATAGTTACAGAACCAAAGAAACACAGTTCAAAATAGTAATGCAGAAATCGATAAGGACAACCTAGCCCCTTATTCATAAAGTTTATTTGATTTTTACTCTAAATTCGTAATTAATGTAGAAAGCGCAATTCGCATAGCAAATAGCAGCTGCAATATCGAAGGTCAACCCACAGCTGCCTTTAAGTTTAGATAGATATTAAACATTTCTATCCATAAAATTAGAAGCATAGACTGCATTGCGCTTTCCTAAACTAATAACCTTCAATGCACCATAGAACCCTTTACAGTCAGATGCACCGTGACCATGTATTCTAAAGCTCAAAGGAGTTCCCACATCCGTGCCTGGAATAATGAAACTAGAATAGGAGTTCGTCCACATAACAAAGAAAATGTTCTATAAACGCTGCAATATCT